AATGTCAGAACATAGAGGCCCTCAGAGTCCAGGTCGACACAGAAGATGCCAAGGGCAATGTTGCGGAACTAGGACAGGTCATGGGCCTGAAATGCCTCCAGCTTCATCCTGGCTGGTAAGAAGATGCCTCTAAGCAGGCAGACAAGGCAAGAGATCCCAGGGCTGGCCACTCCCAACTCAGGTGCTGGCCGAGGCAGCCAGAGCTGGGCCTTGCTCCCAGTGGGGCAAGGGTGAAGAATCAGTTGTTTGGGAAGCCAGCCACCTCAGCACAGGAGCGGGCAGTGGTGTTCTCTCACCCTGCTGCTCCACCACAAGTCAGTTATGGCAGTTGCTCCTCAGAGCCAGGTAACTGCCCTTTAGGCAGCAGAGTCCCTTTTATGCCACCCTGCCTTCCTGGGTCGCGGAATGGACCAATCAGGCGTGAGCTATGAGCTGATTGGTGCTAAATGGTGCCTCCCCACAGGATCCCAAAGAAGGGGGTTGAAGACAGAGCTAGCAAACTGTACAGCAGGGGCGGGGGAGGGAAGAGCACAAGAGGTTACAGTGACTCTTCAAGAGTGACTTGGTGTGGGAATTTTATGAGGATTACACCTGAGGGGAGAAATCAAATAATCAAATATTGCACACTGCCTCGTAGCCTGGCCCTAGAGCCGGGGTGACTAGGGCCCCAGGGTGAGGGGCCTCAGAGAAATGTGCTTCCCAGGAGTGCTAGGGTTTGTGCTGCTCAGACACACCCAGCCCAGGGGGAGCCCTGAAGACAGGGCTGTGTCAGTGGTGAGAAAGGAAGAAACACACAATTATAGAATATGTGTTTTTATTTTATCAAAATTCTCCTTCGCTTTTTTTTTTTTCTTTATTGCGTGACATTGGTTTACCACACTGTATAGGATGGAGTATAGGTTCAGCCTCTTCAGGCGTGTGTGATCACACCACGGCCACCACCAAAGCACCCACAACCCCACCACGGTTCATTCTGTCCACCTCCTCCTTTGCTCCCTAATTCTACCATCCCCTTCGGTAGCCTTGTTATAGGGCAGCCCCGATATTGAACACTTACAATGGACTTATTAATACTCCACTACAGGTACTCATGAAAGGTTAATAAAAGGTTTATTTACAAGGGAAAAGGAAATAAGGAAAATGTACAACCCAGGGAGAAAATAGGGAAATAAAGTCTTTAATGCGTCCTACCCGATCCGCTGACCTGGAAACCCAAGAAGCACTCTCCGAGCTGGCGGGACGCTGCGACCTGGTGGAGAGTCAAAATGGGGGACCCCTCCAAATCCCACGTGTCTGGCTTTATATCAACCTGGCTGCTCAACCCCACCCTCAGGTCCCAGCCACCTTCCCTTTGGTGGTGATGGGATTTGGAGTTCCCAGTGTCTTTGGCTTTGGCCTGGAGTGGGGGTGGAGTCCACGAAGCCTGTATGGAATTAGCTTTAGGACATCCTTTTCCCCCTAACAGCCTCAATTCTACAGTCTGGATTCTTGTGTTTATTTTGCTTTACTTTTGTCCGTTGTTTAGTTTCTTAATATTCTGCCTATACGAACAATCATCCAGTATTTGTTACTTTCCTTCTGACTTACTGTGCTTAGCATAACCCTCGCTAGTTCCGTTCATGGAACCACAAATGGAAAGACTTCATTTTTTTCTTGAAGCAAAGGATTACCCAGTGTGTGTGTGTATGTGTGTGTGTATGCATCACATCTTTCTAATCCACTCGTCTGCACACAGGCACTTGGGTTGCTTACCTGACTGGGGTTGTACTGCAGTGAATACAAGACAGCAGGTGTCTCAGTTAGAGATTTTGCATTCTTCATATGGATACCCAGGAGTAAAAATTTGCTGCAGCATGTGGTAGAGTATTTTTTAAATTTTGAGAAACCCCAATGTTGTTGTCCACAAGACTCGTCCCAGTTCCGTTCCCACCAATGGTGCTGAGGGTTCCTTTTGCTCCTGGCCAACACTTGTGTCTGCACTTTTAACATGCACCATTCTCACAGGGGTGAGGCCAGGCGATAACTCCCTGTGGCTTTGACTTGCGTTTCCCTGATGATACGTGATGTTGAGCTTTTCTTCATGTGCCTTTGGTCATCCGCATATCTCCTTCGGAGAGGTGTCTATTTAATCCCTCTACCCATTTTTTTTTGGGGGGGGGGTTTCTCATCAATGTACATGAATTTTTGTAGATATTGGACATAGTCTCTTGTTGGATGAATGATTAATAAATATTATCTCCTTTCAGTACAGTCTTCTTCATATGAATAATAGTTTTGTTCAATGGGAAAAAAACTCATATAATGGAGTATAATATAAATACACAAATATAATGGAATATGATATAAATGGAGTATAATGGAGTCCATTTGTTTAGTTTTGTGTTCTATGCCCTTATTGTGTATTGGAGTACAAAAGCTGAGCAAACTACAAGGTCACGTATTGACAAAACAAAATTATTGGAAAAAATGAATGATCACGAAAGAATGAAATCTTCTGAGAACAATTAAATAATCAGAAAAAAAATTGGTTCTGAATGAAACAACGTAGAGAGTAAAAGAATACAAGTAATAAGATGAGATGATATTTGCATAGGTAAAGCAAAAATATAAATATCAAATACAACTTCATAACAATATTGATGAACAAATGTCCAAACTCCTGTCTAAAATGATTTATAAAAGAAACAGAAGCACTAAACAGTCATGTGTGTTCATCTACTTGGGTTCCAGTAATACAGAACCACGGGCTGGGTGGTTGAAACAACATGCATTTATTTTCTCACAGAGTTGGAGGCCGGAAGTCCAAGGTCAAAGAGCCAGCTGGTTGGTCTCAGAGGTGGCTACTCATCCTGGAAGACGCCTTCCCATATGTCCTCATGGGGCTTCCCTCTGGGCCTGCATTTCTTGTCCTCCCTTTATGGGGCCCCCAGGTCTATAGGATTAGGGCCCCACCCTAATGATCTCATTTAACCTGACTGTCAGCCTCTTAAAGGCCCCATCTCCAAACACAGGCACATTAGGGATTAGGCCTTCAGAATATGAATGTGGATGGAGGTACAAATCAGTCCATGATTCAGTGAATATTTAAAGATTTATCACCAAGAAAACTCCAGTCACAATGAATGGGTTCTCCTCTCAGGTGTAGTCCCTATAAAATTCCCACAACCAGGGCCTTTCTGGGGGCGCAAGGGGTTAAGCACCACACTATGAAACAATCCACAAGCTCTGCAGCACAAGTCTGATCCCCGGCCAGCCAGGGAGCAACCCACATGGTGCAGCAGACCTCTCCTGTCTCTCTGCTGCTCCCCTCAGCAGTGTATTTCAGTCAGTCTGCCTGTTCTCTTCCCCTCTCTATCTCTGGTGAATCATCTCACCCCCCATGTCTCTGGCCTGTACCTCAGCTCTTGTATGCATAAATGAATAAATCTTTAAAAAAAATGGGAAACTGCTGGCAGCCTCCCCCCAAGCACCCCCATAGTGTGTCTCTGGTTTATAGTTGCTTGTTGATTTTGATTTTTTCTTTATTATAATTAGTCTTTTTCCTGGACCCTTATTTAGATTTTCTAAATTCCTGCTGTGAGTGAGACCATCCAGTATTTTTCTTTTTCTCTCTGGCTTATTTCATTGAGCATGAACCCTTCTAGCTCCATCCATGTTGCCGCAAATTGCATGTGTTTATCTTTTTTGATTGCTGAGTAATATTTCATTGTGTATATGTACCACATCTTCTTGATCCATTTATTTCTGGGCATTTGGGTTGTTTCCATAGCTTCGCTATTGTAAATAGTGTTGCTATAAACATAGGGGTGCAGGTGCCCTTTGGAATTAATTTTTCTGTGTCCTTTGGGTAAATTTTTACCTAGGAGTAAAATTGCTGGATCATATGGAAGCTCTGTCTTTAGTAGGTTGAGGAATCTCCACACAGCTTTCCAAGTGGTTGAACAATTTTGCACTCCCACCAGCAGTGCAGGAGAGTTCCTTTTTCTCCACAATCTTGCCAACATTTGTTGTTAGCTTTTTTAATATGTGCCATTCTCACTGGTGTCAGATGGTATCTCATGGTAGTTTTGAGTTGCATTTCCCTGATTCCAAGTGATATTGAACACTTTTTCATATGCCTGGTGACCATTTGCATTTTATCTTTGGAGAGATTTTTTTTTAGTTCTGCCCATTTTTTGACTGGATTATATACTTTGTTTTTGTTGTGTCTCATCAGCTCTTTGTAGATTTTTGTGATCAGTCCTTTATCATTAGTGTTGTGTGCAAAAATGTTCTCCCAGTCTGTGGGGTTTCTCTTTGTTTTGGTTGCTGTCTCTTTTGCTGTGCAGAAGCTCTTTAATTTGATGTAGTCCCAGCTGTTTATCTTTGCTTTCACTATCACCGCTTTGGTTGATGTGTCTGTAAAGATGTTCTTGAGGTGCATGTCATGTAGTGTTTCACCTAGATTTCCTTCTGTATATTTTATGGTTTCAGGTCTTATGTCTCGTTCTTCAATCTATTTTGAGTAGGATAAAACTATTTTTTATACATCATTAACAATGGCAGCAAAATGATAAGGCATTCAGAGAAGGTACTTGACAAAAGAGGTCAAGATCTCTTAGGGAAATTTCATGAACACCTAATTAGAGGAGACACTGACTTGGTCATTTATAGGGAGAGTCTGGATTGTGTTCCCATGCCCTCAATGGGAACACATATCCATATGATTGTAATCAAATGTTACGAAGATTTGGGGATAATGGAGAAGGGGTGCTGATTATAACATTGAAAATTCAGGGGGTTCCAATGATTTCCATGGAGCAACCGAGGCAGTAGAGTTCTCTCTCAATTTCTGGTCCATGCAAACTATGAGCATGATAAAGTGATTCTTATTTGACTTAGTAAGTTTGGGGTGGTTGATTCACATCAGTGGATAAGTGGAATCCCTTCTAAACAAACAAAATTGCATCACTCTCTTCAATTTTAGATGCTCCAACTCCCTAGAAGACATCAGTTTTCACTCAAATGACCATAACAACACTCTGGTCTCCTAGCTATGACCCCCTCAGCCACAGTAATGTCCTTGTCTTAGCCAACCCAAATGCTCTGGCAGTTTGCAAAGACTCGGCTTCCTGGAGAACTTTAATGGCCATCAGTGAGGGCTCAGGATAAGGGACCAATGGAGGTTCTTCTCACAGCCCTTTCAGAGATGCCCTGACTCCTCCCTAGGAATGTCAGTAGGCAAGACAGTGAGCAGAGCTGCATGAGCCACCACAGGGTCGCCATGCCAACCTCCCTGTCCATCACAGCACAGGGTATTATGACTCTATGGGTCAGGGAGACACCCTGGCAGGCAGTGGGGTCTCCACCCAGTATAGTCCTACTCTGCCCTTAGTGCAGGTCTACTAGTAGAGGCTATTGTTACTTGATTAAAGGAAAGACTTGATTAAAGGGGTATAGGCCCCTGTACATTGCTTGAAAGAGTGTAGGTTCCAGCTTGCCTACTTAAAGAGGTTAGCGTCCCTTGCAGCCTCCCGGGCTGCCAAGGAAATGGAAAGCAGCTGCTTAAGGGTGCCTGGACTTGCATTCCTCCTCTTGCTGGTTTTGCCCCCTCTGCTGCCAAGCAGTGGGGCATACCAGCAGAGAGCCCCGACCTGGCTAGATTTCCACCACCTCACTCGGGCCAGGAGAAGCCTCCCCAGCAACACCAACCAGGATGGGGAGAGCACCCGCCAGGGCCACAGCCAGGACACCGGGTCCAGGGAGAGGCTGGCAGATCACAAGAAATCCTGCCAGAGCAATCTTGACCTCTATTTAATCTTGGACAAGTGAGTGGTCTTCCTACCGGGCCAGAGACTTGGGGGGCATTAGTGGGAGCTCCATTCTCAGCACTTGTTAATAATGTCCTGAGTTTTTGGTTATCATTTTATGCTTTGTTTTGTTTATAACCCAAATGACTCCATTTTTACTGGACTCCAGAAACACTGCTGAGTTGTCTCTGGGCCTTCTATAGCCTCAGTGCAGAGAAAGATCTTTGCTTTGATATCTATGTGTTTTGGCTACTTTTTTTTTTTTTTTTTTAGAAAATCCCAGATGGTTTTTTTTTTTTTAAGATTATTTATGTACTTATTTTTAAAGATTTATTTTTATTTATTTATTTATACAAGCACTGGGTACAGGCAAAAGCACGGGAGGTTGAGAGAATTCACCAGAGCCAGAGCGGGGAGCAGAGCAGGCAGAAGGAACAAAGTACACTGCCGAGGGGAGCAGTGGGCAGCAGGAGAGGTCTGCGCGCCATGTGGGACACTTCTCTGGTGGCTGGGGAGCAGCCGGGGATCGAACCTGTGCTGCAGAAGCTGTGGGTAGCTTCGCAACCCAGCGTTCAACCGCTGCGCTACGGGGGAAGCCCCTGTTTTTGCTACTTTCTTCTACGATCTATGTTTTTTCTGAACACTTTGCTCTCTGGGTGTGGTCCCGAGAAAGCTGGGCTCTATATAAGCCTTTATGACCTTGAACAAGGAAAGGGGTCCGGGGCACTGTATTGGAGACACGGCCTTGGTCGTTTCCAGCTCCTCTGCTGGGCTGAGAATTAACGTCACCTCTTCAGTAGTAGCCGTGGTATGACGTCGGTGACCTCATGGAAGCACGTGGCTGTTTCCAAAGCCCTTTCCCTGCTGTGCCATCCTCAGACAGGCCTGGGGGAGAGCAGGGAAGGTATATGCCATTTCCCAGGAAGGAAGAGTGTCACAGAACTGAAGGCAACATCCTAGAGTCTCTCAGGATGACTTATCCTTGCTGAAAAGTCAGGTATTGAAGTTGTCTACAAATATGTTATTTTTTTCCCCTTCAGACATGTTATACTTATGTGCACAGGTGTTGGGGGCACTTTAGTATCTTTGGGATGTGATGACCTCATTATCACTATGACTTTCACTCATGTGAACATTGTGGCTTGACATCTACATTGTCTATTATGACTCTCCAATATTGTTTTATTTCCCCTATATGAAATATCTTCTTTCATCCCTTCACTTTCCATCTCTGTTTGTCGTTAAAGTGAAATACATATCTATAGGCAATCCATCCATAACTGGCCTTACCTGTCCACCTAACCACACTGCTATCTTTGCTTGATGAATTCAATATATTTAACATTGGAGTGATTGCTGACACGGAAGAACTTGCTACTGACAACTTATTATTTCCTAAATGTAACAAATTGACATTACAGCCTTTGTTTTCCTTCTGTTTCTGCCTACCTTTGCAGACTGGGCTTTCCTCATGTACATTCTGCTTCCCTTTCTAGCTTCTGCTTGTTTGTTGAATGTTTCTCTGGGGAATGTTTCTCTGTTTTGAGAAACTAGGACTTGGAGTTTGAAATCTGCCTTTTTGTTCACATCCCGCCACGAAACCAGTATTTGTTTGTAATTTTATTTTAAGAATTATCAAGTAAATACATGAACACAAATTTCAAATCAAACACTGTTATAAAGTTACTACAAAAATCTCCAGGCTTCTTCCCACCCTCTCCACTTGTGATCCCACAGCTCAGAGAGAGCTCTTGCACGTCTTGGAGATCTTGTCAGGTTATGACTTTGTGTCTCATAACAGGCTTGTAGTGACACTTTTCTTGCTGCTTGGTAACAAAGAGGCAGAGAGTTGGCCATGGTGATTCTCCAAGGACACGAAGGACCAGGAGAGTCAGATACAGAATGCAGGAGGTTTTTTTCAGAAATGCATCCTCCTTCATGTCTTATTTAGAACTCGTGTGGCACAACCAACCATCCTTGTTTGCCTCCACAGGGTCTCATTCTTGAATCCCCCAGTTGCAAGCATACAAATTCCATTGGTGCCGTCCATCCTGACAGTGTGCTGGCGTAGTGGGGTGGGAGTAGCTTGTTGGATGGTTTCAGGTAAACTCTGCTAACACAAAGAATTCACCCTATTCCATTGATTTTTCATTTTCAGGTCAGGAAGTGTGGACACCAACTGGATATTTATGTACGGCTTCGTAGAGGATTTCCTCAAAATGTTTCAAAAGTATGAGTTCTCCATGTGGCGGGGCTTTCGCAATGCCAGGCAGAGAGCCTGTTTGCTTAGACCCAGTGGGCATGGGTATCTTGGATCAGCAGCATGAAGCCCCGGGTGGAGTTCTGAACCAGTAAAAAATGCAGTTTACTCAGTTTCCATGGGCTCCAAAGGTCCTGTAGACTTCAGATTTTTCCAGTCTTGGTGTCAAGCCACAGTGTAGGAAATACTAACTGACTGGAGGATGTCACAGATTAGAAACCAGCTAACCAGTAACACTGTAAAAAAAAACTTATTTAAATAGTTCCAAAGAAAATGGCAAAGGACCCTCAGGGCAACTGTAAAGAAAAGCAAGAGAAAATTCAAGGATGGTTTTCCCCAGGATATGGACATTTGAACTAGGACTGTGAAGAATGAGGAAAAACAGGGTAACAAGAAGCATCAAGGAGACTTCCTGTGGAGGGAGTGATCTGTTTAGGGGAGAGGGGGTTAACTCACAAAAGGGGTACAATTGAGACTGGGACAGGACAGCTTGGGGTCAAGGCCAAAGGGCTCATACAGCCAAGCCAAGGGGTCGGGATTGCAGAGAGCAATAGGAATTAACAAATGACACTTGGGCTGAGTGTGGGTGATGAGGATTGTGCTCCAAGACATCTGATAATTCGGGGTAAAATGAGTGGGAAAAAGAGCTACCGTTACATGGAGCACATCAGGGACTAGGACAGCAATCCTCTAGCAGACAAAGGGGGCCGGTGACCCAGAAGACAGTGGGCAGGGAGGGGAAAGGGACTCAGGTATGTAAATGAGTGGCAAAAGGAACAATAATGTCTCTTAGATGGGGGGAGGAAGGAAACATAGACCAGGAGGGAAGGGCCATGTGGTTCCAAAAATAGAGTCAGTAGAAGGAGGCTACTCATGAGCAAGCATAGGGACCTTCACCTAGTGTGTGTGTGGCATGAATCATGCACTTATGTGTCTGTGTGTGAGTGTGTGTGTGTCCTGTGTGTGTGTGTGAGAGAGATAGAGAGGAAAAGAGAGAAAGGTAGAGGATGGGATCTAGGGATAGAGCAGGACACCACCCTGACAGTCTCCCTGGATCGCCACATATTTGCTGGCCTCAGAATCCTTTACTAAATTTATGGTAACTTCTGGAACTCAGGAAGGGGTCACAGGCTAGAGGGAAGTGAAGACAGGCTGGTGTCCCCTCCCTGGCTGCTCATGGGGTCATTTGAACCTCTGTTTATGACTCTCATGTACACGTGCTTCCTCCCCAGTCCGAACATGCGGGTCTCGATCGTCACCTTCTCCACATGGGGCCACACCGTCCTAAAGCTCACCTCGGACAAGTAAGTTCAGATTCACTCCCTCAAGGCAGACCTACTGGTGGTGGGATCGGGGAATGGAGGCCACGGGGAAAACTCTGCAGGGGAGTCCTGAGTTTCAGTCAGGAGCCCACAGGCTTGCTGCCTGGGAGGGGCCGGCTTTAGGTCAATGACCACCCTGTGCCCCCAGCATCTACTCCCAGGCCCTCTGATAACTCTGGCACTGACACTGGCAGCCCCTGTGTTTCTAGACAATCTCTGCCACTCCAGGTTTGCTGTGCCGGCTCACATCTTCACTTGGATCAGCCTGATCCGAGCTGCATCCCCACCTGTGTCCCACTCCCACCTGCTATCTACCTTAGCAGCAGCTTGTAAAGGACAAAAGTGTGGCCATCTGCAGCTCACTGCTCCCCTGCCTGCATGGGCAGCACTTATGGCCCCTTCCCTGGCCTTAGGTCTTCCCTGTCAGGAGCTCTGAAGTAGGGACTCAAAACTCAAAGCAGCTTTGCTGCTTCCTTCAGATCCAATCCTGATCGGAGGGAGGCTGTGGGTTCTAAGTAACCCTCAGCGGTCCAGGGCAGGGAGGAAGGGAGAGGGCAAGGGTATTGCCAGGGTGACCCTTACCAAACTCAGCCTTTCCTGGTAGAGGGTGATGAGCCCCACTGGGACCCCTGAGGTGCTGGCAGTCCTGGCAGTGCTAATGTGTTTCCGGGTTCACACTAGCACAGTCACAACTGCTCCCCACTGTGCCTGTTGCTGGTCAGACAGGCCCTTTATGAAGCCTGCTGGTCTATGAACCTGATATAGCGATGAGTACAGACAAGATCAATTCCAAAGACCCTGGGCGAAAGGCCCATGGCTTGGTTTCTTGACAGTCGCCTCCCACGTCCAGGTCGGTCTGCCCAGTGCAGAATGTGCCAGCACAGATCGGGCTGTTTGAGAACACTCCACCCTTCTTCCGACCTCAATACTCCTTTTTATTGTTTTTAGAAAAGAAATCGAAGACGGTCTCAACAAACTACGCAACACAGTGCCTACCGGAAACACAAACATGCAGGAAGGATTTAAAGCGGTACAGCCAGAGCTCTAAGAATTTATCCTGCTTTAGCAAGTGCTCAGAATATCACTGAGTCCTCTCAACATGCCTTCCTGTTTTTGCAGGTCAATGAGCAGATCTCCACAGCAAACTCTAGAGGTAAGTTCTGCTGACTTCGAGACTGTCGTATCCTGGACAGTCAGGCCGAAGCACAGCAGTCTGGTGGCCCCCACTTGGAGCTGACTCTTGTGCAAGTTTCCTGACAATATGTACTCCAGAGTCCTCATCCATGCACGAGGGGAAACTGAGCTTCCCGGATGATTCTGAGACTTGTGGGCTCCTGGGTGTACATTCCTGGTGTTTATTAAGTATGAGGCACCTGACCTACATTGAGCTTGTGGAAAAGGAAGAAAGGCCAGGGGGCACCTCGGGCAGACAAGACTCCGCTTATGGGAGAAAAGTTCTTGATTTTCCCCTTGCTGACCACACTCTGCCGTGTTCCCATGGCTGGAGCTGCCTCCTTCCCCTTTCTCGTCTTCCCTCTGCTGACGCTCCTGCTGGCCTGTGTGTCCCCAGGGCTAGCAGCTGTGTCAGCCCAGCACCCTCTCCATTGGGATTGAGTCTGTAGGGTGGATGCTTCAGGCACAACAGGTGAAAGTGGGAGACTGTGGGGAAAGGCTGACATCTGGACTCAAGGTCCACTCCCCAAATATCTCTGCCCCTGGTTTCTGACTGACTGGGCCCCAAGGGGCAGCAGTAGTGCCCCAACCTCCTCTGAGCCCGAGGACATATGTTTTGTTGGTGAGGCTGCTTCCCCATTGCTCTTGGGAAAGGCATGAACTTGTCCATTGAATTAGCTGGACTCGCCCTCAGGAAACAGGATCTGCCATCCTTGGCAGTGAGAATCCAGGAAGGAAAGTCCTCAGCCAGGCTCAGTCTCCTCCTCTGTAAAGTGGGTTGGCGAAGGAGTCTTCTCCCTCCAGCGGCTGCTCCATAGCCCTCTAGGCGCTCAGGAACAGGGGTGCCGGGGTCTGGCAGCCTCTCTCAGGAGAGGAAGCAGGGGCAGTGCATGGCCTTCACACCTGTGGTAGGTCACTCTGGGCGCCTTTACTGACCAGGACCTCCTGCTTCTCCCACAGAAAAGAAAGTGCACTCCATGGTTGTCTCCCTAATTGATGGAGCACTTTGGCCAGAGTCCTTTCAGGCTACGAAGAATGAAGTGAGTCCAGCCCGCCTTGACCAGCCTTTGCTCCACATGTTCAGTGATTTGCACTTAACACGGTCTTTGTCTTAGGCTCAGAGGACTCGACAACTGGGAGGGACTGTTTACGTTGTGGGTGTCAACAACTACGTGAAAAATCAGGTAATTCAGAACAGAAGCCAACTGAGAAGTCTCATTGTAGAAAGCTTTGGCAGGGCCCCCAAGAGGATGGTTCTCTAACCCACTCACCCCAAGTATCTGGACAGCATGTGACCACTGCAGAAATTAGTAACTGTGTTGTATGAGCCCACCTGGGGAGCAGGTGGGAGAACTTTCCATTCCAGAAAGTTGGGCTGCTGGCGAGGTCAGCAGTTTTTGTCAGTGAGACTGCTTCCTCATTGCTCTCGGGAAAGGCATGAACTTGTCCATTGAATTAGCTGCACTCGCCCTCAGGAAACAGGATCTGCCATCTGTAGCCTTGAGAATCCAGCAAGGAAAGTCCTCAGCCAGGCTCAGTCTCCTCCTCTGTAAAGTGGGTTGACTAAGTGGTCTTCTCCCTCTAGCGGCTGCTCCATAGCATAGGGTGGGGCACTGTGTCTCACATAGTATGAAGCCTGAACCCAAACACTGGGATGGTGTCCTGCTGGTCCTCACCCCTGCTGTGGGTCCAAGTTTTCTGCTCCTCCTTGTAGCTCCTGGCAATTGCAGACAGCGAGGATCACGTGGTTGGTGTGGACAGTGGATTCTATGATCTCAGGAACATCGTTGACTCAGTGAGAGAGGGGTGGTTTGGGGGTGGGATGAGGAGGTTCTTACCATGCCCACTCTTCACCTTACCTGACCCGAACAACTCTCTGTTTCAGCTCGCAGCTAAGTCCTGCGTTGAGCTGACAAGTGTGGGACCGACAGATTACTGTGTGGGAGGTAAGAGCTGAGTCTCTATTCTAAACAGAGGCATGTGTGCTTGTGTGTGTTGTACATTGTGCTTGGATGTGTGTGATGGATGTAGTGTATTGTGTCGTTTAAATGTGTGATATACATACACACGTGTAAATGCTCTTATTCCCAGTATTCATGAGCTGGAGTTGACATACAGTTCTATGTAAGGTGAAGGTATTTCACATTATGGTTTGACATATAAAACTTGAAGTGATTAGCACAATAAGATTGTATAATTCTTTTTTTAATAACAAAATCAAAAGTTTAATTTAAAATTGAGGAAAAAATAATACAGTAGCAATGAAACTGAAGAACATCTGACAAGTAAAATATTTCAGAGCCAGTTTGGGATCACCCCAGAAGCACAGGGCTGATATAGAGTTGAAACATCAGTGTATGAAGAAAATTTTCAATGTCCAGTGTCCTAATAAGGGCAATGTCCCTCCACGCAATCACTCCCAGCTACATGAGCTTCAGGCTTAATAGGAAGGCTTTCCTGAGAATTGGACCAAGTCAAGTATGCCTGCTCCCCCAGAGGGTCCCGCAGCACTATAGTGAGGACGTCCAGCTACCGCCTGAGGCGACAAGGCCTCTCTCTGTAAGGGTTTTGAGTGCAGGTTGTACTGCCACAGCCCTGGAGTACACAGCTGAGCCCCACAGGTAAGCACGCCCTTCCCGGGAACAGCACACAGCCTGACCCACTGCATCCTGACCCAGACAGCTGGCTCTGCCTCTGTGTCCTTGCCAGGAAGGCTGGAGCACCCTCACCCGGGTCAGACAGAAGGCTGCTCCAGCTGAGCTCTGCTGCCCGTGGCCAGCACAGGGAGCAAGGGACCCAGATCTGCCAGCTCCTCTGTTGTCTCCAAGAGGCAGAAAGATCAATACCCTCTCTCAGCTCCGTGAGAGAGGGGAGGCCAGTGGACTGTGCAGGGACCAGCTCAGAATAGAAGCAGGCAGACTTAAGGAAGAGTCGTGGCTCTCATATTCCCATGACTGACCATGGCTCAGCTGCCCATGCTTGCCCAAGCGGGGAGGGCGTGGCTACAGAGCTTTCCAGGATGGAAGAGTCTCCAGGACTCATCCTGACTTCTCTGAACCTGTAACCTGCAGTGCCTCAAGTGGGCTGTGTTAGAAACACACTTGCCCCACCACCCACAGCACACATGGGTCTTTCCTTGTTTTAAGTCCCCACCCGTGCAGGCAACTGGCAGCCTGGTTTCTCTGGGCATGTCCCGGGAGACACCCAGGCAGGAGTGTCTGAGCAGCATGTGAACACACAGACAGGTGCGGAGACCAATCGTACCCAGCCAAGGTGACAGGAGCCCTCCCCACACTCCCTGGCAGCCTGGCCCAGCAAACCCTGCTCTGTCCTTGTAAACTGTCCTCTAGTCAACCGCTGCCACCCTCTCTGCCCAGATGCCTCTCATTCTTCACTTGTCAAGTAGTAATACCATGACTACTGCCTAACTGTAAGGCTTGCTTTTCTCATTCAAACTAATTGTCTTTGAATCTTTTTGTCTGCACGTTTCCAAACCTACAGCAAATGGAAGCAATTCTACAGGAGATCCTTTAACTGGATTTCTCCAATAACAGCTAACCGATTATCACTTATCTATCTAGCTCCCTCTCTCTCTTTCTGACTCCCAACAATCCGTCTTATTTTTGAAGGTTTCCAAAGCAAATTAGAGTCATCAGGCTCTTCTACCCCCAACTTTGTCATTTTGATTATGATAAACAAGGGACCAATTTTCCCGAGTTGTCTTTTCAAAATGCACGCATCTTCGCGTCGCAGGTATATTATGTGTGAGTCTCACAGATGCACACACACAACTGCATAACACAGACCCTGTGAAGACACACACCATCACAGCTGCCCCTCAGTCCCCTGCATCCTGGCGGCAGCTGCTCTCCACTCTCTCCCACTGGAACTCTACCAAATATAACGACCATGAATAGGTGATCCTAAATGCTTACCTCCCATCTACATACACTTCCAAAGGGCATTTTTAATAAACGAGGGCACATGGAACATTAGATTGTCCACCCTTTCAAAGTATGCAAAGACAAACCTCTTTCCTTGGTGTCCTTGATCGATATTCAGATACTTCCTGATAATTTGGGACACAGTCCCTGCCCCAAGCACATCCTGGTTCGCACCTCTCTGTGGGCACTTGAGAGAATTTCCCTGGGGTGAAGCAGAATTAGAATAGCCACAATAGGAGAGAACAGATTCAAAGGGGGCCAAGAGGTGGATTGTCTCCCAAAGAGGCTGTGCCAGGCTGCATGTGGGGATGAGGATGCGGGCAGAGGTACCCAACTGCTCTTTCCAGGCTCAATATGCAGCCTTGTCACGGTGGGCAGGCCCTGCTGAAGAGTGAGCAGTGAGGGTACAGCTTGAAAGAAGTGGATAGAGAAGCTGCACTGAGCCACTATGTGTAGGAAAGGGCCTGAGGCTTCGGGACATCAGCCGACCTGAGTGTACCACATGCTTGATTTCTTAGCACAGGACACTCAGCCGACGTTCCTGCTCTCTCTGTTTCAAAGACTCTGCACTCCCCCTGCTCCTTGTGGTTCAGGCCCTTGTTAGGACAGGGACACTGCCAGCAGGTATGCTCAGGGGCCACACAGGAACATCAGCAAGACGAGTGGGCCATGACAGTCCAAGGATGACTGACTGTGGCGTGAGGAGGGCAGGCAAGGCATGGGTCCCTGAGAGAGCCTGCCTCTGAGGGCAGTCGCTCCATCCCCAGCCGTACTGACATGCAAAATCACAAACGCAACAATGACAGGTGTTCTATTTTCCAGAAAAGAATTGTATCTGAAATTTCAGGGGAAATGTACTGATAGTCAAACATGGAATCCCATTGTTTTTGAAGACACTTGAAGGCCTACAAACTAATCAGCAGGCACACTTTTGCCCACAGCCCTAGAGTCTTTTTTCTTCAAAGCATAGAATTTACAACCATGACACTGATGATGGCTGGAGGAGGGCTTGATCCAAGAGAAATCCAAACTGCCAAGTTCAAGGTGGTGCTGGCAATTCTAGGACTGACTGGTTCCTCCATTAATTGACTGTATCAACTGGGCAAATCAAGCTCAGGGCACTGGAATTAGCTAGACATGAGACTGAGGCACCAGTGGAGAATAATGACCTTGACATACAGCAAGAAGGCCTTCCCTGCATCTTGTGTAAATCCCTGCAGCCAAAGCCACAGCTGCCGTCACTGTGTCCCCTGGTATTTGTTCCAGGGGAGGGGATCCCCAGTGTCCAATCAAGGGGTAGGACAGATGTCACTTAGCAAGTCACTCCCCACACAGCAGAAGGAAGAGCTTTCCATGAATCCCTGGGCAGGGAAGTGAGGAGGCCCCAGAGGATCAATAAGTGGAGGAAGAACAATCATGTTCAACAATCCTGTTCCCTCACAGCTAAGGGAAGGGGTATTCTTTGGTACAGGATCAGCTGCTCCTGGCTTGTCTCCCTGGGGTCCCACCTTATTCCTCAGCTCCTCAGTCTGCCATAGGCACACAAAAAGATAGGGAAGAGAAACAGACCCCCAAACGTAAAATCATTTCACAAGCAGCCAGACCAGTCTGCTCACTTCAGGCAAGAGGCAGAGTGGTGCAGCCTGCACTGTCTTGCTCCACTCTCCTTTATGGTGGCAGTCTGGTAGAGGCTGGAAAGCACTGCCTGCACCGCTTAGGGAGCCTCAGGACTTGGAGATTGGAAAGCCACGATGGGTTTGTTCATGGTTGGGACCAGGTGGAGCCTTGAATGGGCTGTGCTGGTAGCAGCTGTGGGGATAGTACCCGAGAGCTCCACCAGCCTCCTCACAGTGGCCCCTCAGAAACACCAGGTGAGCCACAGGAGACACCCAGATGTTGGTTCAGAACAGCTGTCTCCTGCAGGAGTCCCTTGGGGGCTCCATTTAGGGGTAGACTGCCATAGTATGAGATCAGCTGACAGCACAGCTCAGTCCCTCCTTACACACATCTTTGGATGTTGCCCTTGCAGAAAACTATGATGTAGGCATCTTTGGAAGAGGTTTTCATAACACCAAAAACAAAAAAGAAGTTCTTTGCAGATTTCAAATAAGTGACACCGTATTTTTTGGTAAGTACCTCTCTGATTTGTACAAGTAACAGATTTCCCACAGACGCTGTCTCCCTCAGGCACCATGCCTCCAAACACTTGACGCCCATTCCCTATGGGTGCTGGGAGGATAGAGGCAGCACCGAGAGTGGAAGGAGGGACGTGAGTGGGATCCATCCATCCCCAGAGCCACGAAGGGTCTGGGTTCAGGGCTGCTCCCTGTGAGGAGGGTCTTCCCTCAGAGTTGCGTCCCCTGTGGTTTCCTCATCTCTCACTTTCCCTGAGAGACAAGGACCCCAATCTCACGAGTCGGCCAGGTGGAACTTATAGCAGTCCTGGGCTCTGAGTACATGCCAGGTGCACTGGTAGCTTTCCCAGGAGGGTATATGCACCTTCGATTGAGAGAGGCGGCCAAGCACCAGATCCAGGTCCTGAGATGTGGCACAGAACACATTCCTGTGTGCCCTTGACCATGTGAAAGTTCCCTTCTTGCTCTATTTTCTCTACCGTGAAACAGGAGCAATGTAACAGCTGCGCTAAGTAAGCTCTGCGACATATGGATATCGGGTGTTCCTCCATGATGGAGGAGTGGCTCCCTGTGGAGCTGACCAGGGTGTGTGGAGGGGTAAGTCAGACTGCAATGGCAGCTGGGCCTTCATCACTTCCGCACAGTTCAGGGGTGGAAAGAATTGGAACTCAGGTAAGCAGGATCCACAACTCAGGGTGCTCTTTTGAGTCTTGTGACTGCCATGCTCAAATAAAATAACAGTAAACAAATGCAAAGGAAGAAAATCACTAGCCATCCTCAGAAATTCCCTATGTCGGTAAATAGTATCACCATCACCCAGTCAATCTGGTCAAAACCTGCATGGCATCCTTGAACTCTCTTTGCTTTTATACCCATATACAGTCCAGCGTAGGTCTTATTTCTTTGAAGTCTAAAGCATGTGCTGAAATGTCTCACCCCTCAACAAACTCATTGTCGTTAGATTAAAACCCAAACTCTTCTAGGACCAAGAGTTCTGTTCCACGTTCAATCTTACGTATGCAACAAGGTCAGGTAGGACAACCTCAGGGGCTTGACACTTTCTGTTCCCACAGGGCAAACCTCTCTGCCCTGTGACCTTACCCTGGCTTTCACTAATGACACTCAGCTCCAGAATAGCATCCTCACAAATAACTTATTTTAATGTAAATGTTCAAAAAATGAAAAAATATAGAATTATTGAAAAAAGAACTTGAAACAGCATCTCTTAATATCAGTAATTACCAAAATATAATAATCAGTTTTTTGAAACAAATACCAGCATGAATTCATTGAATGCATAAATATTTCAATTTTCATCGAGACTGCACAGATCACCTTGTTCCTAGCACCTGCCTGATCCCTCCATTCCGTGTCTGAACATTGTACATTTATGTCACAATTTCAATTCTAGGCAGTTTATTTAATTTGTTTGTGTTTTATTGCCTGCTTTCCCACCAGCCCCACAAACATAAGCCCTGGAGAGCCAGATCCCACTGAACGCAGGTCATTGCCCTTGCTGGCGGGGGCAGCTGCTGAGAGGGCAGAGAGGAGATGCAGCATCTGCACCGCAGAGCTGCACCAGCCAAGGGCAGGCAGACGGGAGCAGGGGTGGATGGGCACGTCCACTGGCTTTCTTCCTGTCTCATTTGCTTTAGATAAAAAAGCCACCCAGGTGGAAGACACCAGCATAAAGTGTCCGGGAATGAAGATAGAGGTACCAGCCAAGTAAGTGCCACTCTGGGACAGGCAGGCATTTTGACCCCAAGAGATGCAGAATGTGGGGTCACCGCTGCTGGGCAGCATGTGACGTGCTCTGGGAGGCTTCAGGGCAATCGTCCTGACCAACCCATCTTGGTGATCCCCCGATGAGCTTAGGGATCTGCTGTGCTACAGCCCCTGCTGAGGACAGACGTGGAAGATGAGGGACCCAGGTGGGCTCCACTGCTCCCAGCAGCCTTCAGAGTGGAGCCAGCACAATACAAATACACAAGAGTCAGGATGGTGACACCACACAGCCTCCCTGGTCACTGAGCTTGTGACCACAAAGCATCTGACCCCATGCAGAGTCCCTCACTGGTCATCCTCATCACTGAGGTGGACCTCGTGGGACTTGGGGTGGGGTCTCCTCCCCAGGCCGTCTGCCCTCCAGTAGCCCTGAATGCCTGATGTTCAAAGCCATCACAGCAGGGAGAGCTTGGGCTATGGTTTGAGCAGAAACCAAGAGCTGTGCCGACCTGCACCTGTGGTCCCCATCTGTCCCCTCTGTGTTTAGCGAGATCTCTGTTGAAGTGAGCCTGAACAACGGTGCCAGCTTCATCAGCAACGGGCTCAAGATCAGCAGCAAGGACTGTGGGAGTCACAGGGTAAGTACATGTTCTCCCTCTGGGGTACCCAGAAGCCTGCCCTGGGGAGGATGTCATTTAGGAAGGCAAGACAGAGGATGAGTGTCAGGACAGGCCTAGCAAGTAGCAGGTGCTGGCAGGACTGGGCGGCATCTCCCGCCAATGATGCCCTTAGCCCTTCATCAGAGTTGGGACGTGTTTGAGTGGCTTCTAGGAGCTCTGGAGTGCAGCCAGCTTAGCATGACAGATGCTCTCTACTCTCTGAACACAGTCATTGAAGGTAGGTACAAGGGAGAAATAAGCACCGAAGCAGATTCCAGAAATGAGGATCTTCCCATGCTAAATACCGCCTTGCCAGCAACCCTCACCTGGTCTTGGTGGGGAAGTAGGGGAACCATCCTAATCCATCGGGTGTCAGTGGGGGTGCTAGGAGGTTCAGTGCAAGGAACCAGACTCCAGGATCTGGGCACCGGGCCTTCCCAGCAGGCTCCAGGCACAGGGGATGTGTTGGGCACAGCTGGGCCCTGTACAGTCAGGGTGCGTTTCCTCTGCATTGGTGCCCGGTGTGTGACCATCACAGCCCCTGGGACCCTGAGGACACTGGCTGTCATTTTTCAGATCCCTTTAGCCCCCTCCCCTCCTTCCTCTTTCCCCACACTCCTCAGCTGTCCTGGCTGCAGCTCTCCCTACATCTCTCTCCTCAGCGCGTGGAGAAGCTATCAGGGCCCTGGGAGGGATCAGGAGTCATCTCAGCAAGGGAGACCGGGGAACGAAGGCGACAGGCTCTTTCTTTGTCCCCCATCACCCGGGCACCATAGCCCAGGGCAGTGAGGCATGGCAGTGGCAAGCATTAGGCTGGAGAAGAGTGTGCTGGGGAGCAGGGCTTCAGTGCCCGATTGCCAGAGCCCTGTGTCTTGTACCTGCTTGTGAGGGTCCCCACCAGCTGACATCTCTGTGTTGTCTGCATTGTGTCTGCACATCCGCTCAGACTGGCCAGAGGACACGCATTGGCCCCTCAGGATTCCCGCCGACGCACAACCCGTCTGTCATCAGGCCCATGAGGAAAGTCCTCAGGAGAAACGTAGGTCTGGTCCAGGCACAGCAGGTGAGCAGTTGTGACCTTGCCGTTCTCTCTGCCACCCTGTCCCTGGGCACCACACCTCTCCCGCCCCCTCGCCTGCTGCTCTGAGCAGAGACTGTGTGGGGTCCCACCTGAGTCCCACTTACCCCAGATTCAGAACGACAGCCAGAGACAGCCCCTTCTCTCAGCCCCACATGGACCCGGCCTGTGCCAGGACTCTGATGACCCTCCACACCTCACGACCCTCTCACCTCCTGCTCACATGTAGACACGGAGGTGCAAAGAGATTGAGGCTGTCAGCCCACAGCTCAGAATCTATAAGTCAGGGGGGCCCTCATGTCAGTGATCCTGGGTCTCCTGCTCTGCCCTTGAACTCCCAAATCTCAGGGGGCCCCACACTCCCCCAGAAACCCATCTGTGTATGTGTACAATTGTGTGTCCCTGCACTGTCAGCCAGGGCTTGGGGTTGGGGCTGGGCTGGTCACTCCTCAAGGATTCTGGTTTCCTTGACTGGGCTCTGGCTTAGCCTCTAAGCATGGCCAGTGGGGCGGGTGTGTTCCATCTCCACGGTGGGCGCTGAGCATGGCTGGCTCTAGTACTGTGTTCCGCCCAGGTGGCAACCTGCAGAGAATGGGAGTGGGCTGACGGGAGTCTAGAATGTGTGCTCAGCATTGGGAGTCGAGAGGCCCCAGGCCCACACTCCTGGTGTTTTCTCTCTGCAATGTGCAGCCACCTGACCCTTCCAATGCGGCAGCGGCAGGTCCCGGAAATCAAGGCTCACAGTTCCCCAACATCAACCCTTATCACTTGGCTGCATGCATGCTGGTACTAATACCTCTGATGATAGGGTGCTTGTGGCTACTCCACCGCAGAAAGGTGAGTACCCCAAGCTGCACACCTCCCTGAGCCCAGACAACTCTCCTAGGGCCCAACACATGCACTCCTGGGTCTCTGCTGCTCCCTCAGCGCAGTCTTCAAGGAGCAAAGGCAGACACAGACTCTGCCCTCCAGATCCAGGCAGAGTGACAACCTGGCAGGGCCTCCTGCCTCGTGCTAGCACAGCCTGTGGCCATGGGCGGCCTGGTCCATGGGGATAAGGGCCGTAATCTCTGGCACGTTGCCTCATGGCCCCCGGGTTCTAAGGACATTGGCTGTCACTTTTCAGATGCCTTTAGCCCCCTCTCCTCCTTCCTCCTATCCCACACTCCTCAGCTGTTCCTGGCTGCAGCTCTCCCTACATCTCTCTCCTCAGCTGGTGGAGAAGGAGGTGGACAGGAGGCCGGCAGGAGGACTGTGCTGTTGAGGGAAGAAGCAGGGGCCCTGTAGGGACACAGAATGAACAGGACTCCCAAGCTCTGGGCAGCTGAGCTTTAGAAACCAACACGTTGTCTGCACATTCCCTGTGCGGCTACCACCTCCCTCATCTTCTTCTTGAGTGCCAGGGGATGTTTCCCATACTGGGCACACAGGGACAGAAAGGAAGCAGCTGCCAGCCTATCCACAGCAGCTTCAGTCTGGGGTCTGGGCTGGCGTTGGTACCTGGGAGGGCATGAGGTGGACCACGCAATGCCACCTTCTGGAGACCACGTGCCCTGATAAAGCAGGGCAATAGCAGAGGACACCCCGACCAAGAAGAGAGGGACAGCAGGGCACGGTGGCAATGGCAAGGTCACTGCCGGATGGAGAGAGAAGGAGGAGCATAGGGGAAGGCACAGCAGCAGCCAGGACCTAGCAGGACCTAGAAGGTACAGAGTCCCTCAGACAACTGAGGAGCAGGTGCTCAGGGACATGCAGCCTGCTGGCCACCAACCCCTGGGGTGGGCATCCACAGTGACACCCAAAGCCACGTTCTCACTCACTCCCGCTGAGCAGAGTCCCCTCCTGCCTGTGTAATCACCCAGAGGCCTGCAAAAACCTTTCCTCCTTGTTTCTCTTTTCACGTTCTAGAACAAGATGGTGGTGAGTTGTGTTTTGTTCCTGATGCCCACACAGACCTGCACAAGAAAGCTGCCTGAGCTGTAGGATATCTCTATTTCCCACCCCACCATCTCCACCTACCTGGACAGAGAGAGCTGGCAGAAAGCAGGGTGACAGAGGGGCAGGGAGGGACAAGTGGGAGGACCTAGGACTCACAAAATGGCATCAGAGACACCCTCTCCATGCTCCCAACGGTCTGATCCAGAGCCTCCATCACACTATAAATTGCAGTAGCTGTTCCAGCAAGTGCCATGATCCACAGTGACATGACCAGGGCTTTCCTTTTGGTTTTGTGTGTCAGTTCCCAACGATTGGTCATTGGCTGGTCCTTCCCTGGGTTTAGTGAGCCGTTGGAAAGGGAACCTCAGGGTTCCAGTACTGGTCACCCCCCGGCAGTCTCTGATCCTGTTGGGTTGCATTTCTTTGGTTTCTTCCCTGTCTCCTGGCTGGCTGGGGTTTGGCTGGGTTTGTCCTTTGGGCACTTAAGAGCTGAGGAGGGTGGAGGGAGTCAGTCCTCCCATGAGCTGTGAGGGAGGCCCAGGCGAGGTACACCTGGGACCAAGGGTCAGCTAAGCTGCCTGTGGCTCTCCCGGTTAAGGAAGCCCAAATGGACCCATAGAATTTGCACAGCAGGGCCACTGTGACCTATAACGGGGAGACCTAGGAAGCCGGCCCCACTCAGAGGCTGGCTTCAGTGCTGCTGCACTGTGGTCAGGGAGGCTGCATCTGCCAACACCAGGCCAATCAGCCTCTGCTGATGCTTCTCCCCAATGTCTACCTTTAAATTGTACAACCCCAAGACCAGGCCTCTCCAAAGGGCAGCCCAGAAACCCAGGTGGCCTGAGAAAATTTGCTGTCCATTTGGGGAAGGATCTTCCTTGCAAAATATGTAGAGGTTGCTTGTGCTCCCATGGAAGGCCTCCCCTGCAGCACAGAGTGCTGCTAATCAGTTGTGCTTGAATCCTCCCAACAAACTTTAGCTGATGGGCCAGAAGTTGACAGGTGCCAGGGGAACAATTCATGTCTCTGCACCCCAGAACTGCCAGACAAAAGCTTTCTTTTCCTAGGAACCTTGTTTACAAACGTGCCCCACAGTGGTGGTCCCTTGTGGTGGAGATGACAACCTCAGATACCTAGAGGTGAGATGGACCAGTAGGAGGGAGCTGTGGGCAGGTCGGGCTCGAAGGAGAGTAACAGGTTGGGCCCAGAAGGTGTGGCTTGGATGGAGAGGAGTGTTCAGGACACTGAGCTTTACTCACTTGGCCCCAATACCAGGCTCTCCCCTCAAGGGGCTCACGTTTATGGAATCACTGCTTTCACAGCGGTTCTCATCAGCCCCATCAATGACTTGGGTCTCCTGGGGAGTAGCAGTGGGTTAAAACAAAATCACAAATTCATGAAGGTCAGAAAATAAAAGCAGGAAATCTGAGTCAAGATCTTTCCCCCATTGGGTGGACATGCTGGTGCACCTGGCACCCACAGAAACCAGCTCAGCAGAGGGAGGGAGGGAGCTGCTGCCTTGTCCTCCTGTCCTCAGCAGGTATGACAAGGGTCCCATGGAGGAGGGGCCTGAAGGGAATGTCCTTGCCCAGGAAGAGCTGGGCCCGCCCTGCTGACACACATCCCACACTGGGGCCCCAGCACAAAATAGAGTCCAGATGGCTGGGGTGGATGAAGAAACAAGCCACAATTTCTGCCTGGTATTTCCAGTCCTCCTTGTCCTGCCTCGGTCCTTTTTGGGGGCCATGGCTTCCTCCAGGAGCTTCTATGGCACCAGGAGAGCCAGCAATGCCTTCTTCTCAGGGTGCAATACAGCAGTGCCCAACACATCTTCCGGAGAGGTGGAAGCCCTGACCAAGGGCTCGTTCCTGTTCCAGGATATGGCTCCCCCACTGACAACATCAGGGCAGAGCTGGAGTGCAGGGTCCAGAGCTCCCCTAGGATCCCCCACCAGGGATCCAGGTCACTCTCGGTTTGTCCTGAGCCTCCTCTTCTCTCCACCCTCTGTCAGCCGGACCCTGCACACTTTCAGGCCATGGAGCCTTCCCTGCCTTCCCTGGTGGACCTCATGAGTGCAGGCCTCCTCCTCCCTTCCTTCTAGCTCCTTCCCAGGTACCCTGCAGGCACCTCATGTTCCCCTCCGAGACACCGCAGATCACCTCCAGCCTTGTACTTTAACTCTGCTCGTAGCTCCTGGCTTGTTCTGCAAATATACTAATTTGTACATCCCTAAAAATTCCTGACTCACACCCTGACCTACAAAGCAGGCCCATTGTCACAAGGAAGGCCACTATCCTCCCCCAGGGAGTTTGTGGGGACAGAGCTCAGGTGCCTTTGGGAACTGGAGGGGACACTGTCCCGCTGGAGGCAGCAGCCAGCTCAGAGCTTCCTCACAGCCTCTTCTGCTTTCCAGGACAAACTGGACACTCTGCGCATGCAGATCATGTGCAACATATTACAGAACCACAACCGGGGCCCAGTGATATGTTATCAGCCCAGGCGCAAGGTAAACAGGCTACAGGGATGCTCCCTAAGGCCAGCGTCCTTTGCTTTATTTCCTGAAGCAGCCCTCTGGGAGAGTGGGTACAGGCATCTGTCAAGAAAATGTCTAAGAATGAGACGTGGTGCTCAGGAAACTCCCAGCTGAGTCTAGACAGGGACCCATGTATTTTCTTTGATTTTCATCTCAAGGATGGCAGGGGAGACAAATCTAGAACATTACCCAGCACTTCCAAATTTAAATGAAAAGGCTGGAGGAACAGTCAGATGGGGAGTGCTCGGTGCCTCCATCCCCACCCTGCACCAGGGCTGTGGGTCAGCTGCTGCCTCCCATGCTGAGGCCCTCCTGGCTGGGATGGAGACACACCCCTCAGCACTTCTGGGAAATCTGGGGAACTAGGGCCTTCATTTAGTCAGAACATGTTCTCAGTCCCCAGGCTCCCCGGCAGGGGATGCAGAGACGGTCAACATCTGAGCAAAAGGAGTTCAGTGTCTGAGCCCTGGGGCTGGGAATGCTGGGCACACCCCAATACCTGAACAGAGTCTCAGATAGGAGCCCAGGCTAGGAGGAGTCCCCAGGGAGAGGAAGGGCATCCTCAGAGGTCCTGCCTTGGGCCAGCGCCCATAAGCCAAGGAAATCAGAAGTTTCTCTTCCTAGTTCCAGTGCTTCTCACTGACCTCTCTCTTCTCTTCCCACAGCCATGTTCCTTAATCAGTTCTAGGGGTGGGAGGATGCGCAGGTACCCACGCTGCTGCCTGCAACCCAGCCTGGCGTGCTGTCCCCTCGACTACTGCTGGATGTGTTGCCCATATTCCCCGTGCCGACCTCCCCCACTCATAAGCTCCCAGCCTCCCCCACTCATAAGCTCCCAGCCTCCCCGACCCATATGCTCCCAGCCTCCCCCACTCATATGCTCCCAGCCTCCCCCACTCATATGCTCCCAGCCGCCACAATCGGTCTGCTCCAGGCAGCCCTCCAGGATGTCGCCAATGATCCCTGGCCCAGTTGGAAGATGTGGTGGAAACCCTTTGGCACTCCTACCCCCATAGACCAGTCAATAAATCCTGCAAATCCAAGACTAAGTTCTTTATGTGCTTAAGTGGACACGTGTGTCGAGTCTTGGTTTACAGTCAAAGGAGTTGGATGTGGTCCATCAGCAGAAGTGGTTCCCCGGCCAGCCCTGCTCCGCTGTGCAGGATGTGGCCACACTGCTCCTGCCTGGACAGAGCACCCCGGTGTCCTCTGACTGTGCACATGGATGATCCCCTCCCCACAGCCTGGTCTTCATCAGCCACCAAGGGCTGGGCCACATCCAGTTTTAGCTAAATTCTGCTCTTTGCAAAATGGCAGATTGTCCTTGAAAAAACATCAATCCTTTCTCCTTCCCAAATTTTATGGAGAGAGAAGTACTTAACTGTCTCACCTCCATCACTCCCTTTTTCTTTCATTTTCTGATGACCTCTTGCTGGATATGTCATAAAAAGACACAAGATCCTCCAAAGTTCACCCACTGAAAGTGCAACTTGTCTTTCCAAATACCCCAAATTGCCCCTAAACGCAGGAGGATTTTAGAAGATTCTCTCCACTTCCCTAAGAGAAGGTGAATCTCCCCTATTTGCCACCATGTATTCCAACAGGGATTTAGCACAATGTCCTGGTTCTCTATCCATCACAGGGCATCTGGGCACTGCCCCATGTGCCGCCACAGCACCCAAGGAACCCCATGAGGAACCCATTGGCCCTGGAGGGAGGGTCCCCCAAGTGAACCACAGTGAGCTGTCCCCGAAGCACGCCGACGGTGATCTAAACTACTGTCTGCCCTCACCCCCATATCCTTGAATGCTGTATTATGTTTCAGTTGAATTTCTCTCAGACAGCTAAAGGTAGAAATATGTCAGGTTTGGGTTTTTCATCTGTGTAGAATTAGTGGATGGATAGGGATGACTTCTTTCCCCATGTTTGGAAAGAATTTCTACCATGATTTATGTAAGAGCATGTGGATGGATTTGCAGGGATACACGAAGTCACATGACTTTTAGCCTTGAAAGCATTTATACCTGGAGTTTTTTCTCCTTGTCCACCCCACCCCAACCCCTCTGACAGGTGACAGGCGGCCGACCCCATGGCCAGCACAGGAGAGGGAGGGAGAGGATCTGCCCCTCATGGGCTTTTCCTTTCCTGCCAGCACATCTGTCTCCCCAGCTGTATATTTGCCCCCATGTATCCTCACAGTGTCCTGTGCTCTGCCCCACATGCCAGCCACACCACCCAAGGAACCCCATGAGGAACCCATGAGCCCTGGAGGGAGTGTCCCCCTACTGAACGAGAGCCAGCTCTCCTTGTGGCACGCTGATAGTGATCAGAACTACTGTCTGCTCTCACCCCAATATCCTTGAATGTTGTGTTATGTTTCAGTTGAATTTCTCTCAGACAGCTAAAGGTAGAAATATGTCAGGTTTGGGTTTTTCACTTGTATAGGCTGAGTGGATGGATAGGGATGACTAACTTTCCCCATGTTTGAAAAGAATTTCTGCCATCATGTGTGTAAGTGCATGTGGATGGATTTGCAGGGATATAATTAGTCACATGACTTTTAGCCTTGAAAGCCTTTATACCTGGAATTGTTTCTCCTTGTCCACCACACCCCAACCCCTCTGACAGGTTACAGGGGCCTCCTCCATGGCCAGCACAGAAGAGAGAGGGAGAGAATCTGCCCCTCATGGGCTATTCCTTTCCTGCCAGCACTTCTGTCTCCCCAGCTGTATATAGTGCCAGGCACAAGGCACTTCAGAGAAATAAGAGAACTTACAATGGAGGCCACATAGAAGGTGCTGGAATTATGTGGGGAAGGGAGAGCTCAGCACTTTCAATTTGACCCATTCAGAGACTCCCTCCATGAGCAAAGGCAGGTTCAATAGCGAGAACCAGCAGTGACTCCACACTTGCCTCCTGAGACCCTTCATGCAATGTGAGGCCTTGACCAAATTTTGGTTTGGTTTATGTCACAGAAGAGACGATTGTTCCAGAAGATGGTGCTGAGAAATTTTTGTTTACTGGCCCAATTTAAAATTCCTCTTATAACACCAGTGATAACAGTCATGGAACAAATGTGACTGAGATTTCTGTTTCACTCTTTACTTGACAGCACGCCCATCACGTACCACCTTCTGTCATCACGCTGTCACTCATGGAAGCTATGTTTCCCTTTCTGAACCCTGGAGATGATGCTTTCAAACCTGGAAACATGAGAGAGTACTCAGAGAATTGGGGCTGTCGGGGTGGGGGAACCCAGCAGACGTTTGCCCGGGTCACAGCCTCCCACCCAAGCTCATGCTATGAGCATCAGACCCACAGATGGGGTGTCCAGCTCTGTGCTGGAAGACTGTCTCCGCCCCTCCCTCTGCCAGTGCCCATCCTGCCCAGTATATGGTCTGCAGGCCTCAGGGAGCCATGGAGGTTGCCTGCCACTCCCCTGGCCTTCTCCCCAAATCACCCATCTCTTCCCTCTCTGCCATCTTAGGCACCTGGCTGACACTACTCCCTACTGCAGGGACTACTATTATCCCAGGAACCTCAAATCCACTGAGAACCCACCCAACAGCAAGGGCTCCTGATCCTTGGCCTTGTCGCAGTTTATGAGAAAGGAGCCAACAACTGACAATGCAGACAGGCAGGAAGAGGGCAGGGGAGCGCAATCTGGCCCACTTTCTCAACCTCACCAGCATGCCCTGAAGGCAGCCTTTTCAGCTCCCTGCAACCCTCACTTGCTCATTATCCTAGCAGCTCTGGGTAGGTTGTTGTTTCCTGCCAAAGGTGCTGGAGGAAGTTGGGTATGGCCTGGGCTACAGCCTGCCCTCACCTGACCCTGGCCAGGATAGACCCCGCCTGATCCAGGGTCCACACCCCGGGGCAGGGGGAGGGACAGGAGGGTTTTAGTGGCTTCTTCCTGCAAGCTGTGCTTCTGACTGGTGCCACTCTATTAACTGAGGGCCTCTCTGTAGAGGAGACGCGGTGGTCCAGAAGAGCTAGATGGAAACCAGCAAGTCCTTACAGCCAGGCCATAGTCTCTCGGGTATCCTGACCGTCCTCACTTGTCAAGTAGATTCCCTGCACAGCGGACACCTCCCAGTGACTGGCCCCTTTCACAGCCCTGCTGAGGACTCAGAGCCACCAGAGTCCAACCCGACAAAGACTCCTCCTGTGGGGGGTGTGCATTCCCATTTAACCCAAGAAGATTGAAGGAGGGAAAACTACAGCTCAGACAGGATCCTGCAAAGATATTCAGTGAATGGGAGCCCTGATGTGTTGTGCTCTAAACCCGGATAAACTGTTGCTAGACTCTGAAGGGTCATTGTCTTCAGCACTAAAACCCCCCAAGCTCCTGCTGGTCCTTTCTTGTGCACGCCCCTTCCCAGGACATCCCCCTGGTTCTTCCCTCCTCCTTGTTCCCAGCACCAGGGGCTGCCATCCAGGCTCAATATGCACAACTTGCCGCCCTTATTAAGCCTGGTTGCTCGGGAACAAGCACAGTGTCAGCTGCCTCTGCGGTCTTTGCCCAAATTCCTGACTGCCCAGCTTTGGCTCTGGGGTTCCATCTCTCAGGGAGGTGCTCACCCACTCAGCCCTGTCTCAGGTTCCTCAGGTGACAGGACAGGCCTCCTCCTGGCCAAGGAGGCTTATGGGCACACGGAGCCTCAGAGATTCTGACATGAGGGTCACATGGCAACTTGGAGCAGAGAGGATGAGGGCACCCCTTTTACCACATATTTGCCAGCAATGTCATAGCCAGAAGCTGTGGCTCTGGACCCGAAAGGACTGCTTGACCCTCCCATCATCAAAGGAAGGGGGATCAAAGTAGGCAGGGCCAGGAGGCACTGGAGGCTCAGCCACCATCCTGCAGGGCACACATGCTGTCCATCCTGCCCTGGTGGACACCAAGGTAGCTGGGAGACCGCAATGCTTTCCCTGTCACACTCTCAGCAGGCTGGGTTGTCTTGCAGTTTGAACATAAGGTGTGTCAGTGAAGGGAAGCCCCACTTCAACCCAGATCTGGATGCAAAGTCTCTCTAGAAAGCCATGAAGAGGCATAGGTGAATGGCAGCCATGGCTTGCCCTGGCAACACTGTTACTCTGAACCTTCAGGCCCTCCTGCTCACAGACCTGAAGAGGGGAAGTCAGGGACAGCCAAGGAGTCAGGGCCTCCATATAACTTTATGAGAACCACCCCTCCCCCCCACACACACACGTGCAGAGAATCACACACATCCCACCTTCTCCAGCACTGGTCTACACTTATCCTCCAAAACTGGGGGTGGAGGGGAGGGGCCCAAGTAATAGAGGAGTGGCTAGGGCATCTCCTGGGTATGCTGTACTCCCAGGGCAGGCATCTTCACTCCACTAAGGATGGGTTTTTTTTCCTCATAGTATGCCCCACAAAACTGGGGCCTCTGCTTGCCACTGTGAATCTAGGATGGGATGATGTTGCTCTTGCACCTGGTACAGAGGAGATGGAATTTTCGAGGGACTGAACTGTGCTTAGTGGGCACCAGCTGAAGAGGTTCTGTGAGACTTCCCTTCTCCACATCAGCCGGCCCATTCTTCAGTCTCTAGTACCCAAATGCCATGTGCTGCGAGCAGGAAAGGGCTGATCTGAGTCCTTGGGGTTTGCATGGCTGACCAGAGAGCCCTCCTACTGTTAACCCCGGAGGGTTTACTCCCTAGCTGGCTCAGAATGGACAATAGGTACAAGAAGAAGCACCATTAGAAGAAACTAGAAATCATGATTTTTCCTCTCCTTGCTTCCCAACCCAGATTTACTATTATCTCCACTTTCAGATGAGAAAGCAGAGACAGGGAGGTCAGATTGCTGGCAGACACCCAAACCCAGTTTTCTGATCCCTCAGCCATGACCAGATGACCATCAGGTCCACACATTCCAGCACTGGAGTCTTGGCCTGTGCTCTGCCTCTACAGTGGTGGGTGGAAGGGAGCGTGAAAGGATGGATTTTCTGTCCAGATGTCTTGTCTACATCGTGAAAGCCATCTGGTTTTTGGGTGTGCAGGTGCAGGTCCCCATAACTAACAAGCAGCTGCCCCCCCTCCTCTCTGGGCTTCCCCAGCACTTCCCTCCCATCGGGGCAGTGGAGCTGCTCACTGTGCACCCCTGCAAGGACCAAAAAGCAGGCCATCACCGATGTGCTCACTCGGAGAAGCAATAAGTTGAGGCAGCAGATTGCCAAGTCCTACAAGGTTCAGTTGAGCAAGGTCAGGGGCACTGGGGCACTGGAGCTTAGAGGGGCATGTATGCTGGGTCTGGGACATCAGCGGCTGCCAGAGATAACCTAGGAGATGATTACATTCTGGGGGAGGGCCTTTTCTAGGGGCCAGTCCACTGGAAACATGTCCTTATGGGATATATTTACAGTAAAAAAATACATTCATGGCTTATCTCACATTCAAAATTAACTCTCTTGTGTTTTTGTAGAAATCTTACTTATGGCTGCCCACACCCTCTGGGTGCCAGGGAAATTGTCTAACCAGAAAGAGGGTAGCTACCAAAAGCCTTCAATAAACATCATTCTTAAGGTTCTGTTAGAAGTGTTCTTTCAAATGAAGAATACCACCACAAAGACCTAGTGGCATTTCACTGGAGAATGAGCCAGAGCTTTTGGTTTATGGTTTTTTATGGACACAATTTTACAGAAAATGTTTTAGACCAAGAGATTTTAGCAAACTGGTTAAATATATTTCTTTGTGCTATCAATAAACAGTTTAAAAACCGTATTTTTTAACATCATTAACAATGGCAGCAAAATGATAAGGCATTCAGATAAGGCACTTGACAGAAGAGGTCAAGATCTCTTACAGAAATTTCATAAAAGACATTGAACACCTGCTTATGGAGACACTGATAGGGGGAGTCTGGATTGCAGATTCACATCCCTCCAATGTATCCCCATATCCCTATTATTGCAATCAAATATTACAAAGGTTTGGGGAGAATAGAGATGGGGTGCTGCTTCTAAAATTAAAAGTTCAGGGGGTTCCAATGATCCATGGAGCAAACAAGGCAGTACAGTTCTTTCTCAATATCTGATCCATGCAACTATGAGCATGATAAAGTGGTTCTTCTTTGACTTAGTAAGTTTGGGGTGGTTGATTCACATTAGTGGATAAGTGGAATCCCCTTCACAAACAAAATTGCACCACTTTCTTCAACTTCTTGATCCTCCCACCCCCTAGAAGACATCAGTGTTCACTCAAATGGCCATTAAGCACTCTGGTTTCCCAGCCATGAGCCCCACCGACAGTGATGTCCCTCTCTGAGCCACCCCAGCAGCTCTGAGAGTTTGCAAGACTCATCATCCTGGAGGATTTAATGGCCATCAGTGAGGGCTCAGGATAAGGGAAAGTGGAGGTTCTCCTCACAGCCCCTTCAGAGATGCCCTGACTCCCGCCTGGGAATGTCAGTAGGCAGGCAGTGAGCAGAGCTGCAGTGAGCCACCACAGGGTCGCCATGTCAACCTCCCTGTCCATCACAAAACAGGGCATTATGTCTCTATGGGTTAGGGAATTACCCTGACAGGTAGTGTGGCCTCCACCATGCTGTATTATCAGTCCTACTCTGCCCTTAGTGCAGGTCTACTAGTAGAGGCTATTGTTACTTAATTAAAGGAAAGACTTGATTAAAGGGGTAGAGCCCCTAAACATTGCTTAAAACAGTGAAGGTCCTAGCTTGCCTGACTTCAAGAAATAAGTATCCCTTGCAGCCTCCAGGGCTGCCCAGAAAATGGGAAGCAGCTACCCTGGGGCTCTGGGGCTTGCATTCCTCCTCTTGCTGGTTTTACCCCCTCTGCTGCCAAGCAGTGGGTCATACCAGCACAGAGCCCCGACCTGGCTTGATTTCCACCACCTCAGTCGGGCCAGGAGAAGCCTCTCCAGCAATACCAACCAAGATAGGGAAAGCACCCGCCAGGGCCACAGCCAGGACACCGGGTCCAGGGAGAAGCTGACAGATGACAAGAAATCCTGCCAGAGCAATCTTGACCTCTATTTAATCTTGGACAAGTGAGTGGACCTCCTACTGGGCCATCGACTTGGGGGGCAATACAGGGAGCTCCTTTCTCAAAACTTGTTAATAACGTCCTGGGTTTTTGGTTATCATTTTATGCTTGGTTTTGTTTCTCACCCAAATCACTCCATTTTTACAGGCCTCCAGAAACACTGCTGAGTTGTTCAGGGCCTTCTCATAGTGTCACTGCCAAGAAAGTCCTTTGCTTTACTGGCTAAGTGTTTTTGCTACTTTCTTCTATGATCTATGTGTTTTCTGAACACTTTGCTCTCTGGGTGTGGTCCCGAGAAAGCTGGGCTCTATAAAAGCCTTTATGACATTGAAGAAGGAAAGGTGTCCGGGGCAGTGGCTTGGAGACACGGCCTTGGTGGTTTCCAGCTCCCCTGTTGGGCTGAGAATTAGCTTCCCCTCTTCAGTAGTAGCCGTGGTATGACGTCGGTGACCTCATGGAAGCACGTGGCTGTTTCCAAAGCCCTTTCCCTGCTGTGCCATCCTCAGAGAGGCCTGGGGAAGAGCAGGGAGGGTGTGTGCCATCTCCTGGGAAGGATGAGCATCCCAGAGTTGAGGGCAGTAGCCCAGAGACACTCAGGACGACTTATCCACTGCTGACAAACTAGGTATAGAAGTTATCTACAAATATGGTTTTTTTCTCCTTTCACCAATTGTACATATATATGTGTGGCACGTTGGGGGCACAATTTATATCTTTGGGATGTGATGACCTCTTTATCACTATGACTATCCAATATTGTTTTATTTCCCCTGCATGAAATATCTTCTTCCATTCCTTCACATTCCATCTGTTCCTCTTTAAAGTGAAATATGTATCTATAGGCAACACATCCATAACTGGCCTTATGTGTCCATCTAATCACAGCACTATCTTTGCTTGATGAATTCAACATATTTAAATTTGGAGTGATTATTGATATGTAAGAACTTGCTCCTGACAATGTATCATTTCCTAAATGTGATATATTTACATGATAGCTTTTTGCTTTCCTTCTGTTCTGCCTACCTTTGTAGACTGGGTTTCTTTATGTACATTCTGCTTCCCTTTCTAGCCTCTGCTCGTTTGTTGAATGTTTCTCTGGGGAAACCAGGACTTGGAGCTTTGAAATCTGCCTTTTAGTTAGCATCCCGCCATGCTACTAGTATTTGTTTGTCGTTTATTTCAACAATTATCAAGTAAATGCATGAACACAAAATGAAAGTCAAACACTGTTACAAAGGTCCTGCGAAAAACTCCAGGCTTCTTTCCCACCGTCTCCACTTCTGATCCCACAGCTCAGAGAGAGCTCTTAAAAATCTTGGAGATCTTGTCAGGTTATGACTTTGTTCCTCATAACAGACTTGTACTGACACTTTACTTTGTAAAGTGTACTGGTACTGACACTGTACTTACACTTTACTTGCTGCTAGATAAGAGACAGAGAACTGGCCATGGTTATTCCCCAAGGACACAAAGGACCAGGAGAGTCAGAGTTACAGGATGTAGGAGGTTTTTTTTAGAAAAGCATCCTACTTCATGTCTTATCTAGAGCTAGTGTGGCACAACCAGCCATCCTTGTTTGCCTCCACAGGGTCTCCCTCTTGAATCCCTCAGTTGCAAGCACACAAATCCCATTGGTGATGTCCACCTCATTACACTGACGAAAGTCACCATCAGGAAGGCCCACTGGGGTTGCTGACAGTGTGCGGCAGCATGGTGGGGGGAGTAGCTTGTTGGATGGTTTCAGATTAAACTCTGCCAACTCAAAGAATTCACCTTATTCCATTGATTTTTCATTTTCAGGTCAGGAAGTGTGGACACCAACTGGATATTTATACACGGCTTCGTAGAGGATTTCCTCAAAATATTTGAAAAGTATGACTTCTCCATCTGGTGGGGCATTTGCAATGCCAGGCAGAGAGCCTGTTTGCTTAGACCCAGTGGGCATGGGTATCTTGGATCAGCAGCATGAAGCCCCGGGTGGAGTTCTGAACCAGTCAAAAATGCAGTTCACTCAGTTTCCATGGGCTCCAAAGGTTCTAGAGATTCGGGTGTTTCCAGACTTGGTTTCAAGCCACAGTGTAAGAAATACTGATTGACTGGAGGATGTCACAGATTAGATCAGGCTAACCTGTAACACAGTTGAAAAAAAAAAACAAAAAAACCCACACTTGTTTAAATAGTTCCAAAGAAAATGGTAAAGGACCCTCATGGCAACTTTTAAGAAAAAGCAAGAATTCCTAGAGAATATTAATGGCAGTTATCCCCAGGATATGGACACTAGAAATAGGACTGTTAGGAAGAAGAACAGAGTAACAAGAGCATCAAGGAGACTTCCTGTGGAGAGAGTGATGTGTTTAGGGGGACAGAGGGCTTAACTCACAGAAGGGGAACAACTGAGTCTGGGACAGGGCAGCTTGGGGTCAAGAGCCAAAGGGCTCATACAGCCAAGCCAGGGGACTCAATGCACCTGAGCAACAGGAAGTTATAAATGACTCTTGGGCTGAGTGTGGGTGATGAGGATTGTGCTCCAGGAAAACTGGTAATTGTGGGTAAAATGAGTGGGAACAAGACCACAGCTACATGGAGTTCATCAGGGACTAGGGCAGCAATCCTCTAACAGACAAAGGGGGCCTGTGACCCAGAAGACAGTGGGCAGGGAGAGGAAAGGGATGGAGGCATGTGAATGAGTCGCAAAAGGAACAATAATTTCTCTTAGACGGAGGCAGGAAAGTAACATAGTCCAGGAGGGAAGGGCTTAGAGTTTCCAAAAAATGTTACAGAGAATAGAGGCTACTCATGTGGCAGGGATAGGGACCTTCACCTAGTGTGAGGCATGAACCGTGTGTGTATGTGTGTGTGTGTGTGTGTGTGTGTGTGAGAGAGAGAGAGAGAGAGAGAGAGAGACAGAGAGAGACAGAGACAGAGAGACAGAGACAGAGAGACAGAGACAGAGACAGAGACAGAGAGAGAAAGGTAGAGGATGGGATCTAGGGATAGAGCAGGACACCACCCTGACAGTCTCCCTTGATCGCCACATATTTGCTGGCCTCAGAATCCTTTACTAAATTTATGGTAACTTCTGGAACTCAGGAAGGGGTCACAGGCTAGAGGGAAGTGAAGACAGGCAGGTGTCCCCTCCCTGGCTGCTCATGGGGTCATTTGAACCTCTGTTTATGACTCTCACATACACGTGCTTCCTCCCCAGCCCGAACATGAGGGTCTCGATCTTCACCTTCTCCACAAGGGGCCACACCGTCCTAAAGCTCACCTCGGACAAGTAAGTTCAGATTCACTCCCTCAAGGCAGACCTGCTGGTGGTGGGAGGGGGGAGACGGAGGCCATGGAGAAAACTCGGCAGAGGAGTCCTGAGTTTCAGTCAGGAGCCCACAGGCTTGCTGCCTGGGCGGGGCTGGCTTCTGCTCAGAGACCACCCTGTGCCCCCAACATCTACTCCCAGCCCCTCTGATAACTCTGGCACTGACACTGGCAGCTCTTGTGTTTCTAGACAATCTCTGCCACTCAGCCTTGCTGTGCCGGCTCAGATCTTCACTTGGATCAGCCTGATCCAGCTCCCCCACCACTTATGTCCCACTCCCACCTGTTATGTACCTTAGCAGAGCTAGTAAAGGACAAAAGTGTGGCCATCTGCAGCTCACTGCTCTCCTGCCAGCATGGGTGGCACTCATGGCCCCTTCCCTGGCCTTAGATTTTCCCTGTCAGGAGCTCTGAAGTAGGGACTCAGCACTCAAAGCAGCTTTGCTGCTTCCTTCAGATCCAATCCTGATCGGAGGGAGGCTGTGAGTTCTAAGTCACCCTCAGTGGTCCAGGGCAGAGAGGAAGGGACAGGGCAGGGGTATTGCCAGGGTGACCCTTACCAAAATCAGCCTTGCCTGGTAGAGGGTGATGAGCCCCACTGGGGACCCCTGAGGTGCTGGCAGTCCCATTGTGAGTTCCAGTTCACATTATCACAGTCACAACTGCTCCCCACTCTGCCTTGGATTGTCAGATCCTTCATGAAGCCTGCTGGGTCTATGAACCTGATACAGTGATGAGTACAGACAAGGTCAATTTCAATGACCCCTGGCTAAAGGCCCATGGCTCGGCTTCCTGACTGTGGCCTCCCTCGTCCAGATCGGACTGCCCAGTGCAGAATGTGCCAGCACAGATGGGGCTGTTCGAGAACACTATACCCTTCTTCCTACCGCAACACTCTATTTTATTTTTTTAGAAAAGAAATTGAAGACGGTCTCAACAAACTACGCAACACAGTGCCTACCAGAAACACAGACATGCAGGAAGGATTTAAAGCGGTACAGCCAGAGCTCTAAGAATTTATCCTGCTTTAGCAAGTGCTCAGAATATCACTGAGTCCTCTCAACATGCCTTCCTGTTTTTGCAGGTCAATGAGCAGATCTCCACAGCAAACTCTGGAGGTAAGCTCTGCTGACTTCGAGACTGTCAGTTCCAACAGTCAGGCCGGGGAATCAGCAGTCTGGTGGCCCCCACTTGGAGCTGACTCTTGTGCAAGTTTCCTGCCCAATATGTCCTCCAGGCTCCTCGTCTGGAAGGGCAGAGGGGAAGGGCAGCCCCCCTGCTCATTCAGAGACTTGCGCGGTCATGGGTGTACTTTCCTGGTGTTTATTAAATATGAGGGACCCGATCTACAGTTGAGCTTGTGGAAAAGGGAGAAAGGCCAGGGGGCACCTCGGGCAGACAAGACTCTGCTTATGGAATAAAAGTTCTTGATTTTCCCCTTGCTGACCACACTCTGCTGCGTTCCCATGGCTGGAGCTGCCTCCTTCCCCTTCATCATCTTCCCTCTGCTGACGCTCCTGCTGGCCTGTGTGTCCCAAGGGCTAGCAGCTGTGTCAGCCCAGCACCCTCTCCGTTGGGATTGAGTCTGTAGGGTGGATGCTTCAGGCACAACAGGTGAAAGTGGGAGACTGTGGGGAAAGGCTGACATCTGGACTCAAGGTCCACTCCCCAAATATCTCTTCCCTGTTTCTGATTGACTGGGCCCCAAGGGGCCAGCAGTAGTGCCTCTGCCTGCTCTGAGCCTGAAGGACAAGTTTTTGTTGGTGAGGCTGCTTCCTCATTGCTCTCGGGAAAGGCATGAACTTGTCCATTGAATTAGCAGGACTCGCCCTCAGGAAACAGGATCTGCCATCTGTGGCAGTGAGAACCCAGGAAGGAAAGTCCTCAGCCAGGCTCAGTCTCCTCCTCTGTAAAGTGGGTTGGCGAAGGAGTCTTCTCCCTCCAGCGGCTGCTCCATAGCCCTCTAGGCGCTCAGGAACGGGGCTGCGGGGGTCTGGCAGCCTCTCTCTGAAGAGGAAGCAGGGGCAGTGCATGGCCTTCACACCTGTGGCAGGTCACTCTGGGCGCCTTTACTGACCAGGACCTCCTGCTTCTCCCACAGAAAAGAAAGTGCACTCCATGGTTGTCTTCCTAATTGATGGAGCACTTTGGCCTGAGTCCTTTCAGGCTACCAAGAATGAAGTGAGTCCAGCCCACCTTGACCAGCCTTTGCTCCACATGTTTAGTGATTTGCACTTAACACGGTCTATGTCTTAGGCTCAGAGGACTCGACAACTGGGAGGGACTGTTTACGTTGTGGGTGTCAACAACTACGTGAAAAACCAGGTAATTCAGAACAGCCGCCAACTGAGGAGTCTCGTGGAAAACGTTGGCAGGGCCACCCAGAGGATGGCTCTCTAACCCACCCCATGTATCTGGACAACATGTGAACACTGCAAAATGAGTAACTGTGTTGGAGCCCACAGACCTGGGGAACAGTTAGATCTTTCCTTTCCAGAAAGTTGGGCTGCTGGTCAGGGTGGGGCACTGAGTTTCACATGGCATGAGGCCTGAACCTCAGGTCGGGGATGGTGGTCTGCTGGCCCCTCAATCCTGCTGTGGGTCCAAAACTTCTGCTCCTCTTGTAGCTCCTGCCAATTGCAGACAGCGAGGAGCATGTGGTTGGCGTGCACAGTGGATTCTATGATCTCAAGCACATCATTGACTCAGTGAGAGAGGGATGGTGTGGAGGGTGGGATGAGGTGGCTCTTACCATGCCCACTCTTCACTTTACCTGACCCGATCCGCTCTCTGTTCCAGCTTGTAGCTAAGTCCTGCATTGAGCTTACAAGTGTGGATCCGCCCATTCACTGTGTGGGAGGTAAGAGCTGAGTCTCTATTCTAAACAGAGGCTTTTGTGCTTGTGTGTGTTGCATGTTGTGCTTCGATGTGTGTGATGGATGTAGTGTATTGTGCAGTTTAAATGTGTGATGTGAATACATACGTGTAAATGCTCTTTATTCCCAGTTTTCATGAGCTAGAGTTGACATACTGTTCTATGTAAGTTGAAGGTATATCACATAATGGTTTGACATATAAAACTTGAAATGATTACCAGAATAAGAGTGTATAATTCTTTTTCAATAACAAAATCAGAAGTTTAATTTAAAAATGAGGAAAAACATTACATAGTAGCAATTAAACCCAAGATCTTCTGACAAGTAGAATACTTTTGAGCCAATTTGGGATCACCCCAGTAGCACAGGGCTGATATAGAGTTGAAACATCAGTGTATTCCTCCCATCAGCCAAATGAAGAAGAGGAAATGATGATTTCAGTGTGTGAAGAAAAAGTTCAAAGTCCAGTGTCTTAATACGGGCATAAGGTGACCAACATCCCTCCACGCAAACACTCCAGCTGACATCAGCTTCAGGGTTAACAGGAAGGCCTCTCCTGAGAGCTCGACCTAGAGGAGGATGTCTGCTCCCCCAGAGGGTCCCGCAGCACTGCAGTGAGGAGGTCCAGGCACTTCCCTTAGGCTACAAGGCCTCTCTCTGTAAGGGCCTGTGAGTGCAGGTTGTGCTGCCGCAGCCCTGGAGCAGACAGAGGAGGCCCACGGGTAAGCACGCCCTTCCCGGGAACAGCACACAGCCTGACCCACCGCATCCTGACCCAGACAGCTGGCTCTGCCTCTGTGTCCTTGCCGGGAAGGCTGGAGCACCCTCACCCGGGTCAGACAGAAGGCTGTTCCAGCTGAGCTCTGCTGCCCGAGGCCAGCCCCAGGGAGCAAGGGACCCAGATCTGCCAGCTCCTCTGTTCTCTCCAAGAGGCAGAAAGATCAATACCCACCCTCCGCTCCGTGAGAGAGGGGAGGCCAGTGGACTGTGCAGGGACCAGCTCAGAATAGAAGCAGGCAGACTTAAGGAAGAGTCGTGGCGCTCATATTCCCATGACTGACCATGGCTCCGTTGCCCATGCTTGCCCAGGCGGGGAGGGCGTGGCTACAGAGCTTCCAGGATGGAAGAGTCTCTGGACTCATCCTGACTTCTCTGAACCTGTAACCTGCAGTGCCTCAAGTGGGCTGTGTTAGAAACACACTTGCCCCACCACCCACAGCACACATGGGTCTTTCCTTGTTTTAAGTCCCCACCCGTGCAGGCAACTGGCAGCCTGGTTTCTCTGGGCATGTCCAGGGAGACACCCAGGCAGGAATGTCTGAACAGCATGTGAACACACAGACAGGTGGGGAGACCAATCATACCCACCGAAGGTGACAGGAGCCCTCACCACCCCCCCTGCCAGCCTGGTCCAACAATCCCTGCTCTGTCCTTGTAAACTCTCCTCTAGTCAACCGCTGCCACCCAGCGTCACAGTCATTTGTGGTAAAGTTCAAGGCAGCTGCTGAGAGGGCAGAGAGGAGACGCTGCATCTGCCCCGCAGAGCTGCACCAGCCAAGGGCAGGCAGACGGGAATTGGGGTGGATGGGCACGTCCACTGGCTTTCTTCCTGTCTCATTTTCTTTAGATAAAAAAGCCACCCAGGTGGAAGACACCAGCATAAAGTGTCCAGGAGTGAAGATAGAGGTACCAGCCAAGTAAGTGCCATTCTGGGACAGGTAGGCATTTTTGCCCCAGGAGATGGAGAATGTGGGGCACCTCTGCTGGGCAGCATGTGACATGCTCTGGGAGGCTTCAGGGCATCGTCCTGACCTTGGAGCTACGCCGATGAGCTCAGGGAGCTACGCCGATGAGCTCAGGGATCTGCTGTGCTGCAGCCCAAGCTGAGGACAGACATGGACAATGAGGGAACCAGGGGGGCTCCTCTATTCTCAGCAGCCTTCAGAGCAGAGCCAGAACAATACAAATACACAAGAGTCAGGATGGTGACACCACACAGCCTCCCTGGTCACTGAGCTCGTGACCACAAAGCATCTGACCCCATGCAGAGTTCCTAACTGCTCATCCTCATCAACGAGGTGGACCTCGTGAGACTTGGGGTGGGGTCTCCTCCCCAGGCCGTCTGCCCACCAGTAGCCCCGAATGCCTGATGTTCAAAGCCATCACAGTAGGGAGAGCTGTGGGATATGGTTTGACCAGAAACAACGAGCTGTGCCAACCTGCACTTGTGGTCCCCATCTGTCCCCTCTGTGTTTAGCGAGATCTCTGTTGAAGTGAGCCTGAAAAACGGTGCCAGCTTCATCAGCAACGGGCTCAAGATCAGCAGCAAGGACTGTGGGAGTCACAGAGTATGTACATGGATTCCCTCTGGGCTGCCCAGAAGCCTGCTCGGAGGACAGAGTCATGCTAGGGAGAGAAGAGAGTGGACCAGTGCCCATGTAGGCCTAGCAAGTAGCAGGTGCTGGCAGGACTGGGCGGCATCTCCCATCAGTGAGGCCCTTAGCCCTCATCAGTGTTTGAACATACCTGGGGGTTTCTAGGAGCCCTGGAGTGCAGCCATCTTAGCATGACAGACGCCCTCTACTCTCTGAACACTGTCACTGAAGGCACGTACAAGGGAGAAATAAGCACCCAAGCAGATTGCAGAAATGGTGTTGAGGATCTTCCCATGTTAAATAGCGCCTGGCCAGCAACCCTAACCTGGTCTGTGGTGAGGAAGTTGGGGAACCATCTTAATTCCACTGGGAGTTGCTAGGAGGTTCAGTGCAAGGAACCAGACTCCAGGATCTGGGCATCGGGCCTTCCCAGCAGGCTCCAGGCACAGGGGATGTGTTGGGCACAGCTGGGCCCTGTACAGTCAGGGTGCGTTTCCTCTGCATTGGTGCCCGGTGTGTGACCATCACAGCCCCTGGGACCCTGAGGACACTGGCTGTCATTTTTCAGATCCCTTTAGCCCCTCCCCTCCTTCCTCTTTCCCCACACTCCTCAGCTGTCCTGGCTGCAGCTCTCCCTACATCACTCTCCTCAGCTGGAGGAGAAGCTATCAGGGCCCTGGGAGGGATCAGGAGTCATCTCAGCAAGGGACACCGGGGAACGAAGGTGACAAGCTCTTTCCTTGTCCCCCATCACCCGGGCACCGTAGCCCAGGGCAGTGAGGCATGGCAGTGGCAAGCATTAGGCTGGAGAAGAGTGTGCTGGGGAGCAGGACTTTGGTGCCCGATTGCCAGAGCCCGGTGTCTTGTACCTGCTTGTGAGGGTCCCCACCAGCTGACATCTCTATGTTGTCTGAATTGTGTCTGCACATCCGCTCAGACCTGCCAGAGGATGCGCATGAGCCCCTCAGGAGTCCCGCCGACGCACAGCTCGTCTGTCATCAGGCCCATGAGGAAAGTCCTCAGGAGAAACGCAGGGCAGATCCCGGGAGTGCAGGTGAGCAGCCCTGACCTTGCCGTTCTCTCTGCCACCCTGTTCCAGGGTACCACACCTGTCTCCCGCCTACTGCTCTGAGCAGAGACTGTGTGGGGTCCCACCTGAGTCCCACTCACCCCAGATTCAGAACCACAGCCAGAGACAGCCCCTTTATTCAGCCCCACATGGACCTGGCCTGTGCCAGGACTCTGATGTCCCGCCACACCTCAAGACCCTCTCACATCCTACTCACATGTGGACACGGAGGCTCAGAGAGATTGAGGAGCTCAGCCAATGGCTCAGAGCCTACAAGAGAGGGAGGCTCATGTACTATGGTCCTGGGTCTCCTGCTCTGCTCTTGCATACCCAAATTTCAAGGGGCCCCACCCTCCCCCAGAAACCCATCTGTGTATGTGTACAATTCTGTGTCCCTGCACTGCCACGCAGGGTTTGGGGGGGGTGGGCTGGGCTGGTCTCTCCTCAAGGATTCTGGTTTCCTTGACAGGGCTCTGAGCTGAGCCTCTGAGCACGGCCAGTGGGGCGGGTGTGTCCCATCTCCACGGTGGGCACTGAGCATAGTTGGGCTGAGTACTTGTGTTCTGCCCAGATGGTAATCTACAGAGAATTAAAGTGGGCTGATGGGCGTCTAGACTACATGCTCGGGGTGGGTGTCTAGGAGGCCCCAAGCCCACACTCCTGGTCTGTGGTCTTTCTGCCGAAGGTGAATGCACCTGCCATTCTAATATGTTAGCCGCACTTACTGGAAACCAAAGCTCAAATCGCTCCAAGATCAACACTTACCACTTGGCTGCATCATTACTGATACTACTAATACCTCTGATGATAGGGTGCTTGTGGCGACTCCACAGCAGAAAGGTGAGTGCCCCAACCTGCACACCTCCCTGAGCCCAGACAACTCCTCTAGGGAACAATCACCTGCTGCCCTGGTCTCTGCTTCTCCCCTCAGTGCACAATCTTAACAGGAGCAAAGGAAGACAGACTCTACCCTCCATTCCGAGGCAGAAAAATGACCTGACAGGGGCCTCCTACTTCATGCTTGTTAGTCTATGTTCTATTTGCTGCCTGGTTCTTGGGGAGAAGGGCTCAGAATCCTGGCAGGGCTGCCTCGTGGCCCCTGGACTCTGAGCGTACAGGCAGACGAGAGGCTGGGATGAGGACTCAGCTCTGTTGAGGGAAGAAGCAGGGGCACAGCAGGGGCACAGCAGGGGCACAGAATGAGCAGGAATCCCAAGCTCTGGGCAGCGAACTTTAGAAATTAGCAGGGAAGAAAAGAAAAAAGAAATCAGCACGGTGTCTGCACATCCAGTGGTGCTTCCACTTCCCTCTATCTTCTTCCTGAGTGCCAAGGAGTGCTGTCAATACCGGGCACACAGGGACAGAAAGGAAGCAGTTGCCAGCCTGTCCATAGCAGCTATAGTCTGGGATCTGGGCAGGTGTTGGTACCTGGTGGGGCATAAGGTGGACCACACAATGCCACGTACTGGGGGACACTAGCCCTGATAGCGCAGAGCAATGGCAGAGGACAGCCGGGCCAGGATAGGGGGACAGCAGAGCATGGTAGAGGCAGTAAGAACACTGCTGGATGGCGAGAAGGAAGAGCATAGGAGAAGGCACAGCAGCAGCCAGGAGCGAGCAGGGCCCAGAAGACAATGCATCCCCTCAGATAACTGAGGAGTCAGGTGCTCAGGGACATGCAGCCTGATGGCCACAGACCCAGATGGTGGGCACCCACAGTGACACCCAAACCATGTTCTCACTCACTCCCGCTGAGCAGAGTCCCCTCCTACCTGTGTGAACCAGCCAGAGACCTAGGAAGCAGGCCCCACACAGAGGCTGGCCTCGGTGCCAAAGCACTGTGGTCAGGGAGGCTGCATCTGCCAACACCAGGCCAATCAGCATTTGTTGATGCTCCTCCCCAATGTCCACCTTTACACTGTCAAACCCCATGACCAGGCTTCTCCAAAGGGCAACGCAGGAAACCCCGGGGGCAGGAGAGAATATTTTGCCCTTTGGAGAAGGATTATCTTTGCAAAATATGTGGAGTTTGCCTGTGCTTCCCACGGAGCGTCTCCCTTGCAGTATAAGGTGCTGTTAATCAGTTGTCCTTGAATCCTCCCAACAAGCTTTAGCTGAGGGGCCAGAAGTTGACAGGTGCCAGGGCAACACCTCATGTGTCTGCACTTGGAACTGCCACTCAAAAATTTCTCTTCCTAGCAACCATGTGCACCAACATGCCCCACGGTGGTGGTCCCTGGATATGACAACCTAACACAGCTAGAGGTAAGAAGGGCCCTCGGGGAGGGTGTTATGTGCCTGGCTAGGGCTGTGGAAGAAAGGTACAGACAGGGCGGGCCCAGAAGGCATGGCTTGGATGGAGATGAGTTTTAAAGTAGCTGAACTTTGCTCCCTTGGCTGCAGTACCAGGCTCTCCACTCAGTGGGCCGAGGTTTATGGAAACAGTGACTACACAGAGGTTCTCATCAGCACCAACAATGACTTGGGTTCCCTGAGCAGTAGGAGTGGGTTAAAACAAAATCACTAGGTTCCTGAAGGTCAGAATGTAGAAGAAATAGGAATTTCTGAGTCAAATTCTTTCCCCCATTAAGTGGAAATGCTGGTGTACCTGTCGCCCGCAGAAGCCAGCTCAGCAGAGGGAGGGAAGGAACTGCTGCCTTGTCCTCCTGCCCTCACCCAGGGTGACAAGGGCCACGTGGAGGAGGAGCCTGAGGGAATGTCCTTCCCCAGGAAGTGCTGGGCCGCCCTGCTGAGACACATCCCGCACTGGGGGCCCCCACCACAAGAATAGAGTCCAGATGGCTGGGGTGGAGGAAGAAACAGCCCACAATTTCTGCCTGGCGTTGCCCCTCCTCCTGGTCCTGCCTCTGTCCTGCTTGGGCCATGGCTTCCTCCAGGAGCTTCTATGGCATCAGGAGAGCCAGCCCTGCCTTCCCCTCAGTGTGCGACACAGCGGTGCCCAACACACCTTCCAGAGAGGAGGAAGCCCTGACCAAGGGCTCGTTCCTGCTCACAGGACATGGCTCCCCCTCTGAAAACACCAGGGTGGAGCTGGAGCGCAGGGTCCAGAGCTCCCCTAGGATCCCCCACCAGGGATCCAGTTCACTCTCGGTCTGTCTTGGGCTGCCTCTTCTCTCCACCCTCCGTCAGCAGGACCCTGCACACTCTCAGGGCATGGAGCCTCATCCTGCCTTCCCTGGTGGACCTCACAAGTGCAGGCCTCCTCCTCCCTTCCTTCTAGCTCCTTCCCAGTTACCCCCGCGGACACCTAATGTTCCCCTCCAAGACACCGCATATCACCTCTAGCCTTGTACTTTAACTCTACTAGTAGCTCCTGGCTTGTCCTGCAAAAAACAATGATTTATCCCTAAACAATCCCTGACCCACAACCTCACCCCCCAAAACAGGTCCCTTGCACAAGTAAAGGCCATAGTGTATCCCAGGGAGTTTGTGGGGACAGAGCTCAGGTGCCTTTGGGAACTGGAGCGGACACTGTCCCGCTGGAGGCAGCAGCCAGCTCAGAGCTTCCTCACAGGCTCTTCTGCTTTCCAGGACAAACTGGACACTTTGCGCATGCAGATCATGGGCAATTTTTTTCAAAACCGCAACCGGGGCCCAGCGATGTGTTGTCAGCCGAGGCACAAGGTAAGCAGGGCTCAGGGATGCTCCCCAAGGAAACACCTTCTGCTTATTGCCCTTGACTGCCCTCTGGGACTTTAGGGTGCTGGCATCTGTCAAAAGAATGTCAAAGACATGGTGCCCAGGAGCCTACCAGCTGGTTCTTGACAGCAGACCGTGTGTTTTCCTTGATTTTCATCTCAAGCATGGCAGGAGACAAATATAGAACATTATCCAGCACTTCTAAATTTAAATGAAAAGTCTGGATAATCAGCCTGTTGGGAGTGGTAGGTACCTCTACCCCCTCCCAGCACCAGGGCTGTGGGTCAGCTGCTGCCTCTCATGCTGAGGCCCTCCTGGCTGGGATGGAGACACACCCTCAGCGCACACCTGGTAGCCTGGGGAACTCTGGGTCCCTCATTTAGTCAGAACTTGTCCTTATTCACCAGTCTCCCTGGCAGGGCATGCAGAATCAGTCAGCAGCCAAGCAAAAGAGGTTCAGCGTCAGAGCCCTGGGTGGCTGGGAGGGTGGGCACACCCCAATACCTGAACAGAGTCTCACATAGGAGCCCAGGCTGACTGAGCACCCAGGGAGAGGAATGGCATCCTCCAAAGTCCAGCCTGTGGGAGTAGCCCCCATAAGCCACTGAAACCACAAGTTTCTGTTCCCAATACCAGTGCTGCTCACTGACCTCTCTCTTCTCTTCCCACAGCCATGTTCCCTATTCAGGGCCTTAGGTAGGAGGATGCACGGATAACCACGCTGCTGCCTTCAACCCAGCCCGGCGTGCTTTCCCTCCAACTGTTGCTGGACGCGTTGCCCATATACCCCATGTCAACCTCCCCAACCCATAAGCTCCCAGCCCCCACAATTGGTCTGCTCCAGGCAGCCCTCCAGGATGTTGCCAATGATCCCTGCCCCTATAGGAACATGCAGTGGAATCCCTTTGGCACTCCCACCCCCATAGCCCAGTCCCTAAATCCTCCAGATCTAATGTTAAGTTCTCTATGTACGTAAGTGAACACATATATTGAGTCTTGGTTTACAGTCAAAGGAGTTGGATGTGGTCCATCAGCAGAAGTGGTTCCCCGGCCAGCCCTGCTCCGCTGTGCAGGATGTGGCCACACTGCTCCTGCCTGGACAGAGCACCCCGATGTCCTCTGGCTGTGCACATGGAAGATCCCCTATACATAGCCTGGTCTTCATCAGGCACCTAGGGCTGGGCCACATCCAGTTTTAGCTAAATTCTGGTCTTTGCAAAATGCCAGAATGTCCTTGAAAAAACATCAATCCTTTCTCCTTCCCAAATTTTATGGAGAGAGAAGTACATAACTGTCTCACCTCCCTCACTCCCTTTTTCTTTCATTTTCTGATGACCTCTTGCTGGATATGTCATAAAAAGACACAAGATCCTCCAAAGTTCACCCACTGAAAGTGCAACTTGTCTTTCCAAATACCTCAAACTGTCCCTAAATGCAGGAGGATTTTAGAAGATTCTCTCCACTTCCCTAAGAGAAGGTGAATCTCCCCTATTTGCCACCATGTATTCCAACAGGGATTTAGCATAGTGTCCTGGTTCTCTATCCATCACAGGGCATCTGGGCACTGCCCCATGTGCCACCACAGCACCCAAGGAACCCCATGCGGAACCCATTGGCCCTGGAGGGAGGGTCCCCCAAGTGAACCACAGTGAGCTGTCCCCGAAGCACGCCGATGGTGATCTAAACTACTGTCTGCCCTCACCCCCATATCCTTGAATGCTGTATTATGTTTCAGTTGAATTTCTCTCAGACAGCTAAAGGTAGAAATATGTCAGGTTTGGGTTTTTCATCTGTGTAGAATTAGTGGATGGATAGGGATGACTTCTTTCCCCATGTTTGGAAAGAATTTCTACCATGATTTATGTAAGTGCATGTGGATGGATTTGCAGGGATACACGAAGTCACATGACTTTTAGCCTTGAAAGCATTTATACCTGGAGTTTTTTCTCCTTGTCCACCCCACCCCAACCCCTCTGACAGGTGACAGGCAGCCGACCCCATGGCCAGCACAGGAGAGGGAGGGAGAGGATCTGCCCCTCATGGGCTGTTCCTTTCCTGCCAGCACATCTGTCTCCCCAGCTGTATATAGTGCCAGGCACAAGGCACTTCAGAGAAATAAGAGAACTTACAATGGAGGCCACATAGAAGGTGCTGGAATTATGTGGGGAAGGGAGAGCTCAGCACTTTCAGGGCAGGAAGAAGGCAGGTGAGTGCAAATCTTGCCCACTTTCTCAACCTCACGTGCATGCTCTCAAGGCAGCCTTTTCAGCTCCCTGCAACCCTCACTTCCTCATTATCCTAATAGCTTTGTGTAGGTTGTTGTTTCCTGCCCAAGGTGCTGGAGTAAGCTGGATATTGCCTGGACTACAGCTGCCCTCATCCTGGCCAGATAGACCCTGATCCAGAGTCCATGCCCAGAGCAGGGGGAGGGACAGGAGGCTTTTTGGGGCTTTTTCCTGCAAGCTGTGGTTCTCACTGGTGACACTCAATTAACTGAGGGCCTCTCTGTAGAGGAGACACGGTAGACCAGGAGAGCCAGAAGGAAAGCAGCAAGTCCTCACAGCCAGGCTGGTGATCTTTCCTGACCTTCCACTTGTCAAGTAGGTTCCCTGCACAGCTGACACCTCCTAGTGACTGTCACCAGTCACAGGCCAGCTCAGGTCTCAGAGCCACCATAGTCCTGCCCAAGCCCACGAAAGCCACCTCCTATGGGAGGCTGTGCCATTCCCACTTTCCTCACACCCTGCGGTGCCCCTACTTCTCCCAAGCTCCCACCGCCCAAGGGACATTTCCTCAGTCTCAGGAACCTCCAAAAGAAGATCAAAGTAGCTTGAAGGAGGGAAAACTACAGCACAGACAGGATCTTCCAAAGACAACCAATTATGGGAGCACAGACATGGATGTGTGGTGCCCTGAACCCTAATAAACCATTGCTGCACTCTCTCATGGCTGATTGTCTTCAGCACCCTA